TTTTCTTTTCGCTTCAAAGGATCACTTCTTCAGTGTATTACCAAACCATTGACCCACATTTGATATATTTTTAATGGAAGCCATTAAAATGCACCATCTTTATTTTTCAACTGAAGCCATTAAAAATGGGCCATCTTTTTCAATCTATTTTTCATTACTTAATTTCATCTGTGAAGGTAGCAAAATATTCAATCAAATATAAAGTCTTTGTAAAATTTTTTTTAAAGACAAATTAGAGTTTCAAAGACACTTCACAAATTTCAATATTTGTTGAAAAAAAATTGAATTTAAGTGATTTTTCCTTTCAGAACAATTTTTCTCTCAATAATTGTCATTGATTTCCTTAATGAAGGTTATGAATAAACTATAAACAACTAATTATGTAGTTTGATTTGCCAAAAAGTCAATTTTAGGAAAGACAACAAGTGATCAAGACTGGGTAATCACAACTTTTACAAAATCCATGAAAACCTCGATTCTGTGATATTAACAATAAAATTGCTAGTTTGTGAGGACTGGGATAATAAGTTAATTTTTACAATATATTAATTCAAAACAAGCACAAAATGGAATGATGGGATAATACCTCTCTCCCTTAAACACCACAAAAAACATGTAGATCTGATGGAAGTTTATAAAGCCAATAGGTCTACAGTTATTTTAACCAGTTACCATAGTAACAGGATGTTCTACTACTTTAGTCTACATATATTACTCTTTGTCAATCATAGTGTACCTTACACTACTTCAGGAACAAAACAAGACCAAAAGAAAAAGAGATTTACACTAGACAAGAAAAAATAATGGAAATTTGGAATCTTCAGCAGCCCACTCATCTCCCGCAGCTGTTACAAACTAAGGTTTATAGTACTGAGAGAGAGAAACAAAGGGAAGTAACTCTGGAATAATAACTTGACTAAAGAAAGAGGTTTGATGCAGTAATGGAAGGGAGAGAAGGTAGAAAAGATGGATTCAATAACAAAAACAGGATGTAATGCCTACAATAACTTATAATACATTGATGATATTCGTGAACATGTATTGATCAAAAGTTATAAAAATGATGAAGAGGTTTTTGTTCACAATTTCAATATGTATTATATGTACATGTTAGATACATGCTGAATATTGAATAAAAAGTTAAATCTAATGGTACTGTCTTTCATCTAATTACAAAATTAGTAAATAAGACTAAGAAGCTATTATATCATTGGAACAGGTTGGTAATGTCAATAAAAAAGAAGTTCTTATAACACAACCAGTAGAGGATTAGAGTGTGACGTTTTAGATGACTACACGGTCACCTTCATCAGACAAATGACCAGTGTGGAGCGTACAAGCACTGACATACCCAGTGTACAAGATGGTAAGGAATTTTTCCAGCTGTACACTATTGTATAGGACATGTCTATAATTCTGTTCAGGTACCATATGGTGTAACATAACAAGACAGTTCAATACTGATCCTAATTCTTTCTATTCACTGGAAACATATACCCTGGTACATCAGAAATATTGCAAAATTATCTTTTATATTTTTTACTAACTGGATTGTGTACAATCAAAGACTGACTCCGGTAAATACAATCTCAGTTAGAGAGAATGTAGCCCTGGTAAATACTAGCCACAATATACCTCTCTGTTAGACAGAATGTAGTCTTGTTAATACTAGCCTCAATGTACCTCTCTGTTAGACAGAATGTAGCCCTGGTAAATACTAGCCACAATGTACCTCTCTGTTAAACAGAATGTAGTCTTGTTAATACTAGCCTCAATGTACCTCTCAGTTAGACAGAATGTAGCCCTGGTAAATACTAGCCACAATGTACCTCTCTGTTAAACAGAATGTAGTCTTGTAAATACTAGCCACAATGTACCTCTCAGACAGAATGTAGCCCTGGTAAATACTAGCCACAATGTACCTCTCTGTTAAACAGAATGTAGTCTTGTAAATACTAGCCACAATGTACCTCTCAGTTAGACAGAATGTAGCCCTGGTAAATACTAGCCACAATGTACCTCTCTGTTAAACAGAATGTAGTCTTGTAAATACTAGCCACAATGTACCTCTCTGTTAGACAGAATGTAGCCCTGGTAAATACTAGCCACAACGTACCTCTCTGTTAGACAGAATGTAGTCTTGTAAATACTAGCCACAATGTACCTCTCAGCTACACAGTATGTTGTCTTGTAATACTAAATGAAATACACTGACCTCAGTTACACAATTATAAATGCTAAACCCTTCATTTCTGAAGTTTACATATGAAGTAAACAAAAGCTTCATGTTACATGTTAAAACAAATTTAAAAAGTGACGGTGTAAAATAACCAATATAAAAATGTGAACCAGTGTACTCACAGGATGTAACAAGCTTGCTAGGTACCCTGATTTTAAAAATCAAGTAAAATATGTATTCCAGTAAAACATCTATCTCACCCCAGAGGTTTTAATCGATGCTTTGCTGAGAAACAAAATACAGGAAACAAAACCAGGGTTGTTGTAGGGGTAGAAATTTTACTGAAACAGCCCGGTCATCAATCAGTACTTCTGTATGGTACATAACATGAGGAAGTTTTAATCCTCACAAGTCGATGAAAAAGAAAGGGGTGTGGGGGTGGGGGTGTGTTTATATCAATTGATTTTTGGGTACTTCTAATCCATGAATTCATATGTTCACAAACTGTTAACACTAGTTAAAGCAGACTTATTGAGGGGGGCATGGGGGTAAAGATAGATTACTTGAGCTAAATTCATCTATGAAATGAAGTGTCCAAGTAATAGTTATTTTTTGGAAAATCCAAGACATGCGAGTCAAAAAATATTTTACAAAAAATTTGACGGCAGGATATCTCCGAATTCAACACATACTCTATAGCTTATCATATTACAGGACCACAGAAATGTTTACTTTCAAGATTTACTCATCAAAACAAGTTCGCAGTGATCAATGTTTGCAATAGACTATACCTGGTCTCTAGAAAACTGATCAACTCCGTCATAATTAATTTGGGCGATTAACTTTCATGAATTTGCTTTAGTGACTGAATTCATAAAAGTTAATCACGCACAAAAAAAATATTGGTATATAGTGGGTAAAACAAAATGTGAATTGTTGTTGCTATGAAACTTGTGCTGAGAGGCAATATGTAAGTATATAAATATGATATTGGTTTTTCCAAGCTTTGTTATCGAATGTATTGTTTTAATTCTTAGATATAAGGAATGCACATTTTGTATTCTTTTAAAATATTTTGGAAAAAACGTTTCAAAATATCTTTAAAAAGTTAGTTGATGAAACTGTACAAGAAATGGATTTAATTCTGCCTCATTGAAATTGTTTTAAGTACTTAAACAATATATCATAAATGCTGATCTTCTATTGAGTCTCCTCTTGTTCCGAGTTCATGAATATTTACATCAGACTCATGAATATTCATGTTATTTACATAGTAATGAGCAAGAAGGACCAGCCTTCTGTTGTTCTGAGCTCATGAATATTTACATTAAATGACTAATGAATATTCATCATATTTACAAGGTGATGAATAAGCTATATAATGATGAATTTTGAATCATGAATATTCATGTCCAATACAAAAAAATGGCTTCATCAAAATAAATGCTACAAAATTTTACATTATAAGAGAAAATAGAACAGATAAAAAGTACTTAGCAAATTGTGTAGGTATGGAAATGATGTAGGTGTACAAATTACACTGGTTTTTACATTATCTCATTAGATTGTACATGCTAAAACTTCGTTTTCTGCAGCATGCATTTAAATACAATACTCAGTATTTATGACAGAAATTTGTCATACTTAAACATCTATTAGCTTCATACTACAAGAGTACAGCATTATTCTCTCATAATTTTCACACAAGAGCGTATCTGTTCCATCATATAAATATATTTCTTTGGATTGATTTCTAAACCCCTTATTTTGATTTCTTTGTTTTGCGACTGGAACAAAACAAAAGTTTTATTTCGATATTTCTTCCTGCTGCGTCAGGAAATGATTAAAATTCAAATTAATATCCCAATTAGCAAAGGAGATTAACATATTACCCTCAAAAGTTAGGAAGGGGTGGGCTTATTACAGGACAACAAGTCCAGATGGCTAACACATCAGACTCAAAGTCAGTGTGGGCGTATTACAGGACAACAAGTCCAGATGGCTAACACATCAGACTCAAAGTCAGTGTGGGCGTATTACAGGACAGCAAGTCCAGATGGCTAACACATCAGACTCAAAGTCAGTGTGGGCGTATTACAGGACAGCAAGTCCAGATGGCTAACACATCAGACTCAAAGTCAGTGTGGGCGTATTACAGGACAGCAAGTCCAGATGGCTAACACATCAGACTCAAAGTCAGTGTGGGCGTATTACAGGACAGCAAGTCCAGATGGCTAACACATCAGACTCAAAGTCAGTGTGGGCGTATTACAGGACAGCAAGTCCAGATGGCTAACACATCAGACTCAAAGTCAGTGTGGGCGTATTACAGGACAGCAAGTCCAGATGGCTAACACATCAGACTCAAAGTCAGTGTGGGCGTATTACAGGACAGCAAGTCCAGATGGCTAACACATCAGACTCAAAGTCAACAATTACCCCAACTGTCAAACGTATTAACTCAGACTCAAAGTTTGGGGTGGGCTTTTTACAGGACAATCAACCCAGTCAGTAAACTTCCTGTTCTTTTGATGGGTTCTTCAGTAAGTGATTAAGGCATTGTGGACTATAAAATACTATCTATTATGCTCCAAAATGAAAATTTGTCAAAAAAAGAAAATTTTTAATTATGTATAATTTTTCAACAAAAAACGGTCACATAGCACTTATGATTCCAAATTTATCGACAATACACTGTGTATGACATTTAAATGTCACAAAAAAATTTGCAAACAAAAACAGTGTTTTTGATTGATAAACTTATGATTCAAAACAAGTGAAATTAAACATAGTAATGTTTATATAACATAGCTATATTAATCTATAATACAGAATTCTTACACAAATTCATCAACTTCACTCTTATTTACCTCATTTTCCTCCATTTTACAAAATCATTAAGTCAAATCTTCACACATAAAAATTAATTTTGTTTATGGCACAGCTGTCAAATTTTAGACATTTACAACAATTGTGTCTACATAACAAACATCCAGATTAATGTTTCAACATTATCCAAGTTCAGACCTTCTTAACACATAATATTACAACATCTTTATTCGATTTTTCTTACTCCATGATCCCTGAAGGGAGAGAGTTACCTCCCCTTTGGTGATTCCACATTTCCTTGATCAATTTTCCTCCTCCATGTTCCCAGACGAGAGAGTTCCCTCCCCTGTGTGTGACTCTCCTCCTCCAGTACTGTTGTCAGAGTCATTAGGGGGCGGGTGTGTTGCCACAGGTGTTGATGGCATGCTGCCAGATGAAGCATCGCCTGAGGCAGCTTTTTCCACTGCTGCAGATTGTGCCATCATTTTCTGTCGCACCTCACGTATTTTCAGTTGTAGACAAACCTTTGACGGAAAAATAGTTGCATGCTCTGCTTGGAAATTGGCTGTGGCTTGAGCTGAAAAGACATCAAATCATCTATACGTATACTATATGTAGAAAAAACCTATTTTATTTACTATCAAAGATCTATGAGAAATCTTTCTTATTGTTCATGGTTTGTCATTCGTTCATCAATGTTGAATTTTATTATTTGTTTCCCTGTCCTTGTTTTATTGATATTTCAGCTATTTAAATCAAAACATCTTATGGAACATCTTTCATTCTTATACATGAAAACAGATGATACCAGTATAACTTACTCCTTTAAACCCTTGTACATTCTATACTTATTTACAAACTTAATGAGAAGTCCACCACCAGCCATGTTTGATGTTGACAGAGACATCTAAGTTAATGAGAAGTCCATCAGCCATGTTTGATGTTGACAGAGACATCTAAGTTAATGAGAAGTCCACCAGCCGTGTTTGATGTTGACAGAAACTTCTAAGTTAATGAGAAGTCCACCAGCCATGTTTGATGTTGACAGAGACTTCTAAGTTAATGAGAAGTCCACCAGCCGTGTTTGATGTTGACAGAAACTTCTAAGTTAATGAGAAGTCCACCAGCCATGTTTGATGTTGACAGAGACTTCTAAGTTAATGAGAAGTCCACCACCAGCCTTGTTTGATGTTGACAGAAACTTCTAAGTTAATGAGAAGTCCAACAGCCGTGTTTGATGTTGACAGAAACTTCTAAGTTAATGAGAAGTCCACCAGCCATGTTTGATGTTGACAGTGACTTCTAAGTTAATGAGAAGTCCACCAGCCATGTTTGATGTTGACAGAGACTTCTAAGTTAATGAGAAGTCCACCACCAGCCGTGTTTGATGTTGACAGAAACTTCTAAGTTAATGAGAAGTCCACCAGCCGTGTTTGATGTTGACAGAAACTTCTAAGTTAATGAGAAGTCCACCAGCCATGTTTGATGTTGACAGTGACTTCTAAGTTAATGAGAAGTCCACCAGCCGTGTTTGATGTTGACAGAGACTTCTAAGTTAATGAGAAGTCCACCACCAGCCGTGTTTGATGTTGACAGAGACTTCTAAGTTAATGAGAAGTCCACCAGCCGTGTTTGATGTTGACAGAGACTTCTAAGTTAATGAGAAGTCCACCAGCCGTGTTTGATGTTGACAGAGAGGAAAGTTATGCCTGCCCCCATTAGTATTGGTGAAATACAAAACCCACCGTACATATAAGGAAAGTAATTTTCAATCAACTACACAATCAACTTTTGTTACATCACACAAGATACAGTCAAACCTCATCAACATGATCTCGTATAACTTGAAAACACCCTTTAATTTGAAGTATTTTGGCAGTCATGACCAAACTTCCAACCAAATGTTTGTAATCACTTAAATCAAACTCTCAAATAACTAGAACTTTTTCCGACAGTCCCATCGACTCTGTCCGACGGTCCCATCGACTCGAAACTTAAAAGAGTACGACTGTATTTTGACAAAAAGTCACTGATAATTTTAAGCTCATATTTGCTTACCCAGGTCTTGTTATCTTCAATAATGACCTATAAATTATTCTAGCTATTGCGGTAGAAATATCTGGCAGAAGAGAATGTCAAAATGATGTTCATTTACTTACCAGATGGAAACAGTCCATGTTCCTGAAACAACTGCATGACGAGTTGACGACGCTGGTCAAGGATCCTTCGGAGTGACGAGAATTGTCCAGGTGAGCTTGGAGTTCTGGGCGTCATTGGTGAACTAAGCCCACTTTCAAGGAAATCTTCTACTGAAGCAGAAACAGTTGTCAGGTGTCACACAAGGAAATCTACAGAAACAGTTGTCAGGTGTCACACAAGGAAATCTACAGAAACAGTTGTCAGGTGTCACACAAGGAAATCTACAGAAACAGTTGTCAGGTGTCACACAAGGAAATCTACAGAAACAGTTGTCAGGTGTCACACAAGGAAGTCTACAGAAACAGTTGTCAGGTGTCACACAAGGAAATCTACAGAAACAGTTGTCAGGTGTCACACAAGGAAGTCTACAGAAACAGTTGTCAGGTGTCACACAAGGAAATCTACAGAAACAGTTGTCAGGTGTCACACAAGGAAGTCTACAGAAACAGTTGTCAGGTGTCACACAAGGAAATCTACAGAAACAGTTGTCAGGTGTCACACAAGGAAGTCTACAGAAACAGTTGTCAGGTGTCACACAAGGAAATCTACAGAAACAGTTGTCAGGTGTCACACAAGGAAATCTACAGAAACAGTTGTCAGGTGTCACACAAGGAAGTCTACAGAAACAGTTGTCAGGTGTCAACACAACACACAATGAAATCTACAGAAACAGTTGTCAGGTGTCACACAAGGAAATCTACAGAAACAGTTGTCAGGTGTCACACAAGGAAGTCTACAGAAACAGTTGTCAGGTGTCACACAAGGAAATCTACAGAAACAGTTGTCAGGTGTCACACAAGGAAGTCTACAGAAACAGTTGTCAGGTGTCAACACAACACACAAGGAAATCTACAGAAACAATGAAAACCTTATAAGGAAACAGATACCAGTATCAGGTCTTTACACAAAAGAGCTCCAGTAAACCGAGACTGCTAGAGGATCAAAATCCTTATAAATCACAGTAAAGATGGGTTACAATTAGCAGTAGAACCCAACACATAATAAAGTATTGTATTCTCACTCAAACTTTCTTGTGAATCTTTTTTTCATTTTTCTGTATCGTTTCACCTTGAGTATAAAAAAGAAGGCACTCTCGCACAAGTGACAAAGGAACATTGTGTTTCATATTCATACTTTTCATTTTGAAACTGTGACAGACCATCGACTTTCTCATTTCTGTCTGCAGCCTCCAGAGCTATGGCTTACCGAGGTTCAAGGACACAACAGCTGACCTATGACCTTTGATCTCTGACTGCAGCTCCATAATTTATGCCTTACCTGGTTTGGAAGACACCGCAGCATCAGCAAGTGTCTCCAAGCTGAAATTACGTCCAAAGAACATGTTGTCTTCGAATCGCGCACTGCGAGGTGTCTGTGGGGTCCCAGTCTCAGACTCACTGGAAAACTTCTTGTAACTTGGAGAGACGGGGTCAAAAGTCTCGCTTGGTGTCGACTCTCCAGTAGCTGATAACAGAGGTCAGTGAGTGAATAATTTGTCCTAATGGATAAACTTAACAAGCACAATCATTACTGTTTACAAAACCAAAATTTTCCAGGATTTAGCTCTCATGAAAAATGTTGATGTTTTTCCCAGTTCTAACTTTGCCTTAAACTAATAACTGCATATCTTTAATTGTTCAAACATCAATTCTTCTTTTATTTTTGAACCATTTAGCAAAACAACAAAATTAAGCTTAAGGTGAACTGCAAAGATGTTCCACCAGATACAGTATACAGATGTTTAGAAAGTTGAAAATTAAATCTAAATCCATACCAAGAGTGGACACTTTCCGACGCCTCTTGTAGCAGCTGATGATTGCTCGTGGACTCTGCGGGACTGGTGAGTCCATGTTCGTATGTTCTGGTACAAACTGTGGTAAAGCCTCAAACCTCTTGTCAAAGTTCACTTCCTGTAGCACTCTGTACCAATCCGGAATACAGGAAGTTAGCAACATTGTATCAAGTACATTTTTGTACATTTTTCAGCAATTTTCTATCAATTTTTCTCTAAATCAACACTTAATTAATGTGAGAATTATGTTTCCCACAACATCCACATCTTTTATTTGAAGACCTAACAAATGGAGTTTTACAAGTGAGCGTCACAAATTCACAGAAGTCAATCACTAGGAATTATGATAAGTAGCCATTATAAAATATTATAGTATTGTTTATCATCATATCAGTTTATTATGAATAAGAAGCAGAATATCGTCTTTATATCCTACTGCTGCATAACTGTGATATGGAAATCAAGAAAAAGGTTGGTTTACAGCAGAACATACGAAAAGATAGCTTACTTTTCCATTCCATCCTGCATCTTGTTTTTAAAGGCAACACCCCGCCGAGGACTGTTAGTTCCTGGACCAGGAGAGGCAAACGAAGCATCGCCCACGGCCAGCGAGGATTGTGGCACTGGAAGTGGGGGCGGCTTGTGTTTTGGCTTCTATAATCAACAATTATAAAACAAAACTTACAACTGTAGATCAGGCCCCACTTGTATAAAACATCTCAACTTGAGATTTCCTCAAGTCGAGATTTTCCTCAGCTGATATCTCCTCAAAAACGGCTTGTATAAAATTTTCTCAAGGAACAGGAGGAAGGCATCGGCTAGGATGTCCTGAAATTCCTTGAGGAATTTTCATACAAGATATTTTCAAGGAGATATTAGCTGAGGAAAATCTTGACTTGAGGAAATCTTAAGTTGAGATGTTTTATACAAGTGATGCCAGGACTAAATTTCATTTTTCAGAGATAGAATTCTTAAAAATTAAAAAAAAAAAAAAAAAAACTGAAGCAGATAGGGCATACTTCCTCACAAAAGACATTAATTATCCAAAATTTTGCTTGTTTCCTTCTTTTCCAAACTTTTCTTCTTTGTACAAAATTACATGTCAATGTAATGTATTTGTTTCAAACAAAATTGCAAAGTTTAAACCAATCATTTCCTGTCTTCAATTCAAAGTCCAAGTTATCCATCCATACTGAAGTCTCAATGTAAACTAGAACCTACAGGTATCTGTGGAGTGGTCACAGTGTAAACTAGAACCCACTGGTATCTGTGGAGTGGTCCCAATGTAAACTAGAACCTACTGATATCTGTGGAGTGGTCACAATGTAAACTAGAACCTATCGATATCTGTGGAGTGGTCCCAATGTAAACTAGAACCTACTGGTATCTGTGGAGTGGTCCCAATGTAAACTAGAACCTACTGGTATCTGTGGAGTGGTCCCAATGTAAACTAGAACCTACTGATATCTGTGGAGTGGTCCCAATGTAAACTAGAACCTATCGATATCTGTGGAGTGGTCCCAATGTAAACTAGAACCTACTGGTATCTGTGGAGTGGTCCCAATGTAAACTAGAACCTACTGGTATCTGTGGAGTGGTCGCAATGTAAACTAGAACCTACCGATATCTGTGGAGTGGTCGCAATATAAACTAGAACCTACCGATATCTGTGGAGTGGTAACAGTGTAAGCTAGAACCTACTGGTATCTTTGGAGTGGTCGCAATGTAAACTAGAACCTACCGATATCTGTGGAGTGGTCGCAATGTAAACTAGAACCTACTGGTATCTGTGGAGTGTTCACAGTGTAAACTAGAACCTACCGATGTCTGTGGAGAGGTTGCGATGTAAACTAGAACCTACTGGTATCTGTGGAGTGTTCACAGTGTAAACTAGAACCTACCGATATCTGTGGAGTGGTCGCATTGTAAACTAGAACCTACTGGTATCTGTGGAGTGGTCACAATGTAAACTAGAACCTACTGATATCTGTGGAGTGGTTGCAATGTAAACTAGAACCTACTGGTATCTGTGGAGTGTTCACAGTGTAAACTAGAACCTACTGGTATCTGTGGAGTGTTCACAGTGTAAACTAGAACCTACTGGTATCTGTGGAGTGGTCACAGCGTAAACTAGAACCTACTGGTATCTGTGGAGTGGTCACAGTGTAAACTAGAACCCACTGGTATCTGTGGAGTGGTCGCAATGTAAACTAGAACCTACTGGTATCTCTGGAGTGGTCGCAATGTAAACTAGAACCTACAGGTATCTGTGGAGTGGTCCCAATGTAAACTAGAACCTACAGGTATCTGTGGAGTGGTCCCAATGTAAACTAGAACCTACTGATATCTGTGGAGTGGTCCCAATGTAAACTAGAACCTACTGGTATCTGTGGAGTGGTCGCAATGTAAACTAGAACCTACCGGTAACCGTGGAGTGGTCGCTGATGTCTCTGTTGATGGTGTTTGTGGTGCTGGCATAGATTCATCAGGATTGACTTGTTCGACACCTGAAGGAGATTTGTCCACCGAAGAAGCCTATAAAAATACAAATATTGCATTACTAACCATATTTGCACAAATACCAATGTCCAACAGATGGAGAAAAAAAGACCAGAAAGGGCTGGTGGGTTGGTCCTTTATATATAACGCTTTACTAAACGGTTGGCTGTTAGCACTCACTTGGTAATTGATATTTGTTTAGTGCTGGGTATATATCTTGAGACATTTGTTGAAATCTGTCATATGAAATGAATTGAAATATAATTTTTACTGAATACCTACATAGAACGCAGCAAAATTGTTCAATAGAAGCAGTATGACTGATCTCTCATTCTTAACCAGGATTTTTCATAAAAATATATGTTTTACATATTCTGGTTTAAATTTGGTAATAAACTATTGTATATATTTAATTGTTTCATTTCCGTCTTATTTTTATTGTCTTGAATATTGGTTTCTCAGAATTCCAAAGTAGAATCTGATCCACCAATCTGAGTGTTACTGGTCCAACAATAAGCAGGTAAATTCTGAGCATACAACTATTTTAACAAATGAGCACACTTGTTACACATCAAATTAAATATTGTGTTTCTATTTTTTATAGCTATAATTTATCAAATACACATTTCAGCCATGAATTCCTATATACGACCATCCCCGACTACAACAGTAACACAAACATGTTTCACGATGCCTACAAAAACAGAAAGAGGCCATGCTGATTGCAGCATCTCCAAACGTCATAAAGGTTATGTGAGCACTTTGCAGTGCAGTCTGTAGACTTCAGAAGTCAAGATATAATTTTGATATGTTTATAAATTGGTAAAACTATACTTCTGTATGGACAGGAACTAGGTGTGTGTTCTTGGAGATAGGTAATTAGTCTTTTAACTATTATCTATCAACACATTTCACGGTTCATGGTGTGTTTCTGATAAAACATTCCAATTAGAAATGCTCACCGTGACTTTGAGACTTTCTTTCTTTTCTCGTTTCCTGTCACCTGACAGTTCCCGCTGTTTCTTTGTCTGTTGCCCTTTTGACATATCTTCCCCATCTTCTTCGTCTTCATCTTCTTCCCTGCTTTCTGGCGTACTCGGGCTCGGGGACCTTCTGATTGGCTCATAAGAGAGAACCAATGGGGATGGTTTCTTGGGTTTATGTTCATTGTTCATTTGCTGAGGCGGGCTGTTATGGATGTTACGGTATATACTGCCTACAGCATGAGGGCTCTGTACTGGGGAGGTCAGAGGTCGTTGACCTGGAAATTGGAAAACACGAATATTTATTGATAAAAAAAAATTCCTGTGTTCATCATTCTACAAGACTGATACTCGAGTGCCAACGTTCATCATTTTACCAGACTGATACTCGAGTGCCAACGTTCATCATTTTACCAGACTAATACTCGAGTCCCAACGTTCATCATTTTACCAGACTAATACTCGAGTCCCAACGTTCATCATTTTACCAGACTAATACTCGAGTCCCAACGTTCATCATTTTACCAGACTAATACTCGAGTCCCAACGTTCATCATTTTACCAGACTAATACTCGAGTCCCAACGTTCATCATTTTACCAGACTAATACTCGAGTCCCAACGTTCATCATTTTACCAGACTAATACTCGAGTCCCAACGTTCATCATTTTACCAGACTAATACGAGTCCCAACGTTCATCATTTTACCAGACTAATACTCGAGTCCCAACGTTCATCATTTTACCAGACTAATACTCGAGTCCCAACGTTCATCATTTTACCAGACTAATACTCGAGTCCCAACGTTCATCATTTTACCAGACTAATACTCGAGTCCCAACGTTCATCATTTTACCAGACTAATACTCGAGTCCCAACGTTCATCATTTTACCAGACTAATACTCGAGTGCCAACGTTCATCATTTTACCAGACTAATACTCGAGTCCCAACGTTCATCATTTTACCAGACTAATACTCGAGTCCCAACGTTCATCATTTTACCAGACTAATACTCGAGTCCCAACGTTCATCATTTTACCAGACTAATACTCGAGTCCCAACGTTCATCATTTTACCAGACTAATACTTGAGTCCCAACGTTCATCATTTTACCAGACTAATACTCGAGTCCCAACGTTCATCATTTTACCAGACTAATACTCGAGTCCCAACGTTCATCATTTTACCAGACTAATACTCGAGTCTCAACGTTCATCATTTTACCAGACTAATACTCGAGTGCCAACGTTCATCATTTTACCAGACTAATACTCGAGTGCCAACCTTCATCATTTTACCAGACTGACAGAATCATTCAGACAACTACTAACCTTGTAAAGCTGCAGTGACCTGAAGACTCTCCGTTGCTACAGGGATGTTAGCAATGGTGGCTTTGACGCGGTACGACTTGGACTGACTGCCTCCAGTGATGTAACCAATGTCCACTCCTGAGCTTACAGGAACACTTGTCGGGGTCGGAGCCTGTGGCTTTGACATTCCTATCAAAGTGAGACAACTTTAGGAAATTTGTCTAAACATGATACTACATCATTTAAATACAACTACATACCATTACAGCATGACATTGTTAACAACTGTGAACCTCTTAGTTTGATCAGAATTTGTCTTAAATGATTTAATCTTTGTGACTTTAAATGTAGGTCAAGGTCATTCATCCGAACAAATTTAAATACTCTTCATCAGAGAATACAACAGGAAAGTTATGTTGACGCAGAGACTATCGTGAAATAAAAAAATAACTAAAATGTTGATGTTGGAAGCTTCTTGAACATTTCTAGCTCTTATCGTGACTTTAGCCTACACAAGCTTAAAAATCCAATCTTTTAAAGAATGAAATTTCCATTCCATTTTGTTTTCTAATGATAAATGATAAAATTGTAATAGTTAAAACAAAAACAAAGAAAGAAAACAAACAAAAAACAACAACAAAACAGAACAAAAACAATACTAAGTTTGTGCAACAAGGGAAAAAGTCTGAACATTTGAAGATATCTTACCCTGGTAGGATGAATTGGTTTGTATCTGTGGAGGGCTTGGAGCTTTAGGGGCAGTCACCACCGTTTTGGGAGCCAACGGAGCCTGTGAAGCATACGTCACTTGCCCCTGGGGGGCAGCTGGAGGTTGTATTTGTTGAGCCCCTGGGCTCGGGGCAGGTGATCGTGTGCCCTGCTGTTGAATCATCACCTGTTGTACAGCTCCCTGGGGATCTGGACAGAAACAAGCATTAGATTAAGAGATCATTTGATACATTCACTATGTACTTGTAAAGGATGCCTTTTCGATGGGTAAAAATTTTGCAGTTTTCATTTCATACAAGCCTGAAATTATTTTCCCCAAATTTTCATTTCACTGTCATAATAAAATCAAATAGCACCACTTGAATAGAAAAACTTCAAACATTAAATAATAAAAGTTTAGATGAAATCAAACCAACAAATGATGTTCTGTCTACAACATTCATTCCAACAACATTACATCATTACAACAAATTCAAATGTTCCCTATCACAACAAATTTAAATGTTCCTTATCACAACAAATTTAAATGTTCCTTATCACAACAAATTTAAATGTTCCTTATCACAACAAATTCAAATGTTCCTTATCACAACAAATTTAAATGTTCCTTATCACAACAAATTTAAATGTTCCTTATCACAACAAATTCAAATGTTCCTTATCACAACAAATTTAAATGTTCCTTATCACAACAAATTTAAATATTCCTTATTACAACAAATTTAAATATTCCTTATTACAACAAATTTAAATATTCCTTATTACAACAAATGTAAGTGTACATTTGATAACAGAAGACATTTTTGAAATCCTCAATATTATGAAGAGTTATTCTGATGATACACACATACGCAGGAGACAAACAATATTTGACCAAAATATTTCTATTAGCATTTTGTAAAACATTCATGTAATCATTTATTATCAACACTTGAAATCCTAACTCTAAAGCTCAAGGAGGATTTCATACAAACGAACACAAGAAAACCTCCAAGCCTTCAAAGTTTCACTCTAAAACTTAAATCTAGAAGATAATTCTAAAGATTCGCCAATATTGCTGAATGATTCACCAATATTACTGAATAGCATTCTAATGATTCGCCAATATTGCTGAATAGCATTCTAAAGATTCGCCAATATTACTGAATGATTCGCCAATATTACTGAATAGCATTCTAATGATTCGCCAATATTGCTGAATAGCATTCTAATGATTCTCCAATATTACTGAATAGCATTCTAATGATTCTCCAATATTACTGAATGATTCTAAAGATTCGCCAATATTGCTGAATGATTCGCCAATATTACTGAATAGCATTCTAATGATTCGCCAATATTGCTGAATAGCATTCTAATGATTCTCCAATATTACTGAATAGCATTCTAATGATTCGCCAATATTGCTGAATAGCATTCTAAAGATTCGCCAATATTACTGAATGATTCGCCAATATTACTGAATAGCATTCTAATGATTCTCCAATATTACTGAATAGCATTCTAAAGATTCGCCAATATTACTGAATAGCATTCTAATGATTCGCCAATATTGCTGAATAGCATTCTAATGATTCGCCAATATTACTGAATAGCATTCTAATGATTCGCCAATATTACTGAATAGCATTCTAATGATTCGCCAATATTACTGAATAGCATTCTAATGATTCGCCAATATTACTGAATAGCATTCTAATGATTCGCCAATATTACTGAATAGCATTCTAATGATTCGCCAATATTACTGAATAGCATTCTAATGATTCGCCAATATTACTGAATAGCATTCTAATGATTCGCCAATATTACTGAATAGCATTCTAATGATTCGCCAATATTGCTGAATAGCATTCTAAAGATTCGCCAATATTACTGAATGATTCGCCAATATTACTGAATAGCATTCTAATGATTCGCCAATATTGCTGAATAGCATTCTAATGATTCGCCAATATTACTGAATAGCATTCTAATGATTCGCCAATATTGCTGAATAGCATTCTAAAGATTCGCCAATATTACTGAATGATTCGCCAATATTGCTGAATAGCATTCTAATGATTCGCCAATATTGCTGAATAGCATTCTAATGATTCGCCAATATTACTGAATAGCATTCTAATGATTCGCCAATATTACTGAATAGCATTCTAATGATTCGCCAATATTGCTGAATAGCATTCTAATGATTCGCCAATATTGCTGAATAGCATTCTAAAGATTCGCCAATATTGCTGAATAGCATTCTAAAGATTCGCCAATATTGCTGAATAGCATTCTAAAGATTCGCCAATATTGCTGAATAGCATTCTAATGATTCGCCAATATTGCTGAATAGCATTCTAAAGATTCGCCAATATTACTGAATAGCATTCTAATGATTCTCCAATATTACTGAATAGCATCAATATTTCTCAGTAGCATACTTTGTTGTACATAGTTGATGAAAGCAGGGGAGTTAACTCCTTGGACACCTTCAATTTTTGGGAGTGGTGATGCTGCCATGGCAACAGTGCTGATAGAATTTGGCTGCATATACATCCTTGTGCTGTAAACAATTAAGTATTTACATTTTATTTTTTAGTAAAATAAAGAACGAGTACAAAAATGCAAATGAAGGATCTGAATTTACTAAACTATCAGTTACTAACTAGTTATTAGACATTCTTTTCCCATTTAAGGAGGGATTACAGATGATTAATTTGCAAAGCACAAAATTTACTTGTTTATATTTGCAGATAGGTAATTGTTTGGATATGATCTATGATACATATTATAATGAAAATTCTTTAAAAAACTATCAAATTGCAAATGATCCTTTTTTACCATCATAACAAATAAATCATTAATGACTTACTTCTGTGTAGAGGGCAACAACAATTTAGCCTGTTGTTGTTGATTTGCTGTCTGTACTTGCTGCACCTGGAGTTGTCCCCCCTGTGGGACTTGCTGTACCTGGAGTTGTCCCCCTTGCTGGACTTGCTGCACTTGGAGTTGGGTTCCGTGTACCTGGAGTTGTCCCCCTTGTTGCTGTATCAACTGTGTGTGTGCCTGGGGGTGAAGTTGTAACTGGGTGGGTGTGTGTGACCCACCAGGTAATGACATGTAGCCTTGCCCCTGGGACACGCTTGGTAACTGGACTTGTTGGTTTTGACTCATCGTGACAAACTGTGTCGTCACCATGGGAACTTGCTGATTTGGCTTGGTCTGGTTCAGAACGATGGGGGAGGCCAGGTTGGTGTGTGTACTTAGTAATCCCCCTTGTTGCTGTAGCATTTTCCCCTGACTTGTCATTGGTGCTACTTTTAACCCGTTTCCTGTGACGGGAGCTAACTGAACTTTTCCTGTCTGAACTGATTGAGGGGACGGCTGTAAAGGCGGATGTTGCTGAGAATGCTGGGAAATTTGCTGCTGGGGTAAAGGTGAATGGAGTTGGGAATGTTGTCCAGGAAAAGTGAGTTGAATATTACTCTGTTGTACAGGGGTGGCTGGTAACGCCATCTGAACAACATTTTGTACTTTTCCTCCATTAGGTGTTGCTACCCTTACAGAGGGAAGTATGTACTGGACATGCGTGGGTTGTAAGCCAGCCTGTGATAGGCTAATAGTTTGTTGTACAGGTTGTTGCTGTGGAGACTGGGCCTGCTGGGGATGTGCTACCTGATTTGGCTTCAACACAAGTGTGTTGAGCAGTGTAGCTTGGGTAAGAGGCTGGTTCTGTGTGTTGGCCTGTGATACATGTCCCTGTGGTGACTGCCCCTGAGAAGGAACCACATTGCGAATTGTTGTGATGAAGGCATTAGACATGGCGGGAACAGAGGTTGTTTTACTGCTTACAGATGAAGCAATAGACGGCGTGTTCAACAACATTCCATACTGACTTGAAGGAATATTTTGCACCAAAATTGTGCCAACATTTTTCACGTTTCCGTTTGGCGAAGCTTGCAGTAGAGTCTGCTGTTGTTGTATTCCATTACCAGTCACTGCCTGTTTTAGTAACGTTGGCGTGGCGATCTGCGCCTGCTGCATGGACACAAATGGTTTAGAGGCTATAGGTACAGGTGTAGTGATGGGTTTCCCCATGGTGGAGTAAGTGGGAACCACCACGTTTGAGCCGTAATTAGCACTAGTGGCAACTGTTTGGGTAAAAGGTACCAGCTGAACTGTACTGGATGTGACAGGCTTTCCCAACGGTATCCCACCATGTGGTGAGAGACTTGGCTGTATTTGTATCGGCTGTAACTGTGGCTGTTGCTGTAACTGTGGCTGCTGTACGTGCAGGGGTTTTCCTCGTATTGGTTTTTGTGTCACTTTATTCATAACAGGACCTCGTCCATTTTGTTTTCCCAGAATTGTCTCGGTGTTCGATGACACAAGAATCTGTTGATTTTCCTGTGTTGTCATGGTGATATTATGGAGCTTCATCTGACCGACCTTGACAGTGTGCTGCTGGGTTACTGGAGTCCGGGAGGAGGAATCGTGTTGATTAAAATTAAATTGCTGTGATAATTGAGATTCATTCCCAAAGGAACTTCCAGTGGACATTATTCGTGCTTGTTTGTTTGCCTTTGCTCGGAACACTGCCCCTTTAGGTCGAAATCCACCCGCACTTGATGGTCGGGGACTATCACCTTCCGAGGTTCCTATGGAGGATGCTGCAGAATGTCCCGAAGACTCGGGAAGTTTCCTGATTGGTGTTGGACGGTAGGGGATCTCTGACGGACTGATGTGTTTCATCACAGGAGAGAATCGTTGTTGTGGAAAAGCTTTGTTCTCAATAAGTGTGTCTTCCTCAGTCTGACTGTCTGTCTCGCTATCATAAACATTCTCATTACATTCCAGTTTTCTCGTCTCTGTCTCGCTTGTGTCTCCCAAATCATCGACCCCTGGTAAAAAACATTCAGATCACACTAACATCCACAAAATCAAATAAATCTAAAATACACCTTAGTACTTGTTTTTTTTATACTTATTTTTTACACCAAAATATTTCTTTTCTACCATAAAGAAATAAAAAAATACTTAATTCTTCACTCTTACCATCTGTCTTTTCTTCATTTTTAATTTGAAATAACAGATTAATTTATTTCTTATTTGTACCATCTTTCTTTTCTTCATCGATAACCATCCTCTCCTCGTCACTATAGGCATCGTCTCCGTCTGTCTCCCTAGAAACCATGGCACAGAACTGAGGATGCTGTGGTTGGCTGATTTGCTGCTGACTACTGGTTGCTATAGTAACACTCGTTGTTGAGGAATAACTTTGTTGACTTGGTAACAGCGGTCGTTTCAGATCCTGTATCAAAATTGGAAAAAATTCTTAATTTTTTTTTTTTAATAAGACAACATCTCTATTTTCTACATGGAATAAAATACCCAAGTCATGTTGTGTCTCTTTTCTTGTGAGTTTCCATCCAAACTGATATTTGACTTTTATCATTATTACTGTTCAAATCGTTTTTTTGCCGGCTTGGTCGGATATGCGTCTCCATCTTGAACTTTTCAAAAGATTTTTTCATCAAACTTCGGTTACAAAACACAGTAAATCATAACACACATATGTCTTCATCTTGAATAAGTAAACTTTTTTATTACAACTTTTCAAATTATTTTTTCATCAAACTTCAGTTAAAAAACACAGTAAATCATAACACCTGTTATTTTTTATGGTATACCTTTACTGAACTGAATTCAACTCCATCCCGATATCAATTTCAAATCAGCTCTGCCCCCATGAATTTTTTTTAAAAACGAACTTCTATTTACCATATCAGCTCATGCTGTATAAATTAGAACTTTTTTATGAAGCATGGGCATTGGAAAACACATTTAATACCGACATGTCAAAAAGCATGAAAATACGGAATTTCCTTAAATTTCTTTTTTAACCTTCACTTACCTATGCTTTTTTATCGTAGTTAAGATTTCTTCAAGTTAAAGAAGATTCGTGAAATCGGGGCCTGATTCTAAAATTACCTCAGTAAATTGTTTCCCCTCATCCTTTTTTGGAGGGAAAAATGCGGAGCTGCCATCTCGTGGAACGGCAGAGAGGCTCTGGGATCTCACTCGAGAGATTTCAAATAATGAGCGCTCCCTCTGTTCCTGTTCATTCTGATCCATGACATCATCCTGAAGCTTGAAGACGTCTAAGTCATCGGGAACTTTAATTTCTTCCTCCAGGTCTTCTAAAAGTGGTTTGTCTGGAATTATAAAACACAAACCATATAAAAATATTCATGTAAAATTACTCTGCTAAACAACTCATGATTTTTACAAATTGATTTTTATGAAATATGATACTAAATTTTTTCTATTTCACTTCAATAACAATTTTTTTGACGAAGTGCGTTTGACCTTAAAGTCTCGTTCATATCAAAAGAATCAAAGGAAACCAACATATTAAGGTTTACTGATGAAACCGTTGATAGTATGCAGTAAGTTAGGATCTGTAGCCAACACCTAGGCTGTGATCAGAAACATCACAAATGGATGGAATTTCGGATTTATAAACGGATGTTGAGAGGAAGCGACACCCACCAATGTCTTCCATGTCGTCAGTAGAACTCAGTCTCCGTCCTGTACTGCTTCTTTGTTTGAGCTGATTAGCTATTGTACTGGATTTCTTCCTCTCTTTCGAGCACCATTTCCAGTCAGGATACGCTTTAAAGTGGGCCTCCTTTACCTGGAGAACAATTAATATCACGGAGGTCACTTCAGGGTCAACATCACACGAGTTATAAACATCCAAAAAGGACAAAACAATAATTTGTTATTTTATATTTCCAGGTACCTTCGTATCCTGATATTTACAGACGATTATTATTTAATCTACTTATGTGCATATTTCAACGAAAACTTAGTCATTGTTCATAAGGTGTTACACTTGAAATATATGTATGCCAAAAAAAAAAATTTAAAGAAAAATAATTGTTTTGTTGTGATGTTGTTTTAAAGGACATTGTACCTCGTAACAACCAACCCTCCTCCCCCCCCCCCAATACTGTTCTACCTCATAACAACCACCCCCCCTCCCCCCCAATTCTGTTCTACCTCGTAACAATCACCACTCCCCCTCCCCCCAAATTCTGTTCTACCTTGTAACAACCACCACTCCCCCTCCCCCCCAAATTCTGTTCTACCTTGTAACAACCACCACTCCCCCTCCCCCCAAATTCTGTTCTACCCTGTAACAACCACCACTCCCCACCCCCCCCAAATTCTGTTCTACCTTGTAACAACCACCACCCCCCCAAAATTCTGTTCTACCTTGTAACAACCACCACTCCCCCTCCCCCCCAATTCTGTTCTACCTTGTAACAACCACCACTCCCCCCCCTCCCCAATTCTGTTTTATTTGCATGAAAACTATTGTACTAAGATAAACACTAACTACAGTTCCCATCTTACCTGGTAGGCGAGGTCGTGATACTTCTGTTTCTCTTTAGGACCCAAGGCGTACCACCACTCGCCAAGAATCTTACTGACGGTTCGATTGTCCTGGTTGGGATGTCGTTGGTGAACCATGTGTCGATGACGTTTACTGAAGATCATGAATGCATTCATTGGACGTCTCACATGATCTTTGTCCTTGGACTGAAAAGAGTTATTGGCCGAATATAATGAATGTAGAATAGACATACAGCTAGAGCATGCAATAACACTGTCATGGAAAAAAAACTGGACAGGGTCTATCGTCAGCAACCAGTTAGCTCAGGAGGTAGAGCTTCCATCAAATGTTCGGAAGGTCCCGGGTTCAAACCCCGGGCCAGACAGCCCCCTCCAGCGTTTTCATAGATCTAATAATAAGCTTTATCTGATACTTCTATAAATATATGTGATACTATTTACTTACTTACTAAAGACAAGAGCAATTATAAACACTCAATTAAAATGGAACATTTACTTTGCGCGGACTCTTTGGCTCTTTTTCATCTTTGATTGCACTGAGAGACTGTGTGCGACGTTTTGTCGGTGACTTAGGTTCCTTCTTTGGCACTGGTTCTATAGGGCCTGGTTCCTTCTCGTCAAAAACGTCATCATCATATTCATCGTTATCTTCATCGTCAACTGAAATGGAAGTATCACAACTTTTTGAAAATATTAGAAAGGTAATAAAACACTATTTACTAAATAATTCTAAAAGGCTTTTTGTTAAAATGTTTTGGGGAAATTGACTCATATTTAAGTAGGGAAAACAGCTTCATTTTAACTGAAAAATTGGGCAAAATAAATTGAATAGCAACATGATACGCTGTAAAAATACTAAAATGTACAAATATTATAGCATACCCTCAGCCCCAGCATCAGATACACTCTGATGAGCCCCTTCTGGTGTGTTGTTAGCAGTGGGAAGCTGTGCTGGTGTTGTTTGTGAGATAGGTGTGGGCGACGGTTCCTGGGGTTGCTGATGATTGCCACTAGGTGTCCCGTGCTCTCCACGTGTGTTTGTCAGAAATGGTACAAGTGAATGCCAAGGAAATACAGGAACTGGTTTCTTTGATTCAGTTTCTGGAACACAAAGATTAAATTTTATTTTTAGAAAGTCTATCAATTGATGAGGTGGTTGAGTGGAAATATTCCAAGCATTAGACGGAAAAGAATGGAACGATCAAGTGGATTGTAGTCCCCACTGACACATCACCTCACCTAGGAACAAACATTTTCTTTGATGAAGGTCAAAGGTCAAAATATAGGCCAGAGTGACCTATTTTTAATATATGACTCAAGGGTCACCATACCACAAGTATGAAGATCCAGTGGTGTCAGAGATAAAGCAGAAGGATGGACAGAAAGATGGATGCAATAAACGTGAAACATAGTTCCTCTCCACTCCCAGTGGTACAATGTAGTTTGATCAAGTTTCTTTTAAGGACAGTCTCCCACCAACACAATGCAAGTATGAAGTTCAAAGGACTAATAGTGTCGGAGATAAGAGCCCTGACAATTTTTCTTTTGATGTAGGTCAAAAGTCACAATGTAGGTCACAATGATCTACTTTTGATTCCTAATCACCAATGTGAATCAACATACCAAGTATGAAGTTCTTTCTGGACATTGTAAGGAAGGTCAGACCAAGAGCCTAATCTGTCACTGAACATTGATACATATCTGGATCACTGTGAATTGTCAAATTTACCTAAAATGTCGCTTCCCTCTTGAGTTCTTGGATTTTAATTTGCCAATCATAAAATAAATCTGAAAAACTTTGATAACATTTTACATTTTTCCTGAAAAGCATTCCGTCAGAGGATATTGTTAATAAATGCATCCACCAATGTCTAAAAACAACAAGCGAGAGATTTGGATCACTAAGTTACTTACTACTGAATTCTAACGTAACTACTCTGATACAAGATAATAATAACTATGGAGGCAATAAACAACAAGAGGCCCATGGGCTTTAACATCTGACATAAAATACAAGATTTCAAATTTTGAACTTGAGAAGAAGTCGAAAATGTGTTTTCAAGATGGTGGCCATGTTGGATTTTGGACCAACCCAAAATTAAGAAACTTTGGTCAGGATCATGTCACGATCATTTCAGGCAAGTTTCAGCTCAACGAGACATGTGGAACTTGAGAAGAAATTGAAAATGTTTATGACGGACGACGCCAGACAAAAGGCGATAATAAACAGAACGATTCAATAATCACTTTATAAGTCAGCCTATTATTGACAGCTCTAACACCACATTACCTGATGTTATAATTACCGCTCACAATCAAATTTCAAATATTTTTTATTTCTCAGCAGGATACTGAACACACTATAAGTATGTTAGATATTTCAAAGGCTTCAGGTCCAGATAACACTAGTCCTAGATTCATTAATGAAGAAAAAAGAGAGTATGTGGTTTTAATTCTTACTATACTTTTTAATAAGTCTACAGATTGTGGAATACATTCTTCTATATGTAAAACAACCAATGTCACATCAGTCTTCAAAAACGGTGATAGATCCATCATTTTCTAATTATAGACCTATATCTTTAATGGAAAGATGTATTTTTGAAGATATGTAAAAAAAAATTTTTGTGACACAAATATTTTTACTTGTTAAAAATCATAGCACTCATTCAGAGGATATTGTGCCAAATGCAATCAACCAATCAGATTGCAACACCGTATTAAATATGCATGAAATTTGCTAAACACAAGTTCCATGGAGGTGACCTGGGCATGTAGTATACTAATTAAAATATTATAAGAAGAAATTTTGCTGAAATTATTAATCAGCCAATCCTATTACAACAGCCTACACATCATGTGCAGGGCCTGCTGATTCAAGCATAAGGAGCCAGCTTCATGCTTCTGAAAAATTAATTGAAGACATTTTCAAATAGAAAAAAAACATGTTAATGGTCGATCCTGAAAACTCCTTTAGGTCAAAAAGTCAAAAAATGAAAAAGACGTAAACTAATCACAAACAAAGAAATTCAAGGACAAAACACCTGTAAATATTTACCCGTGGTTGTAACTGCCTGCTGAAGCTTGTTGACTTCTCCAACTGGCATCACAGGTAAGAGAGAGGCAGCTCCGATAACACTAGCTGTGCCTGTAACCTGTGATACATGCTGTAACTGTTGCTGTATTACAGACGATGTCATCTGGTTCTTGAGAATGTTTGTCTGTGGCGCTCCCATCTCTTGTACTTGGTAAGGTACCTGGGCCACGGACATCTGTCGCGGGTTGCTGTTGATCAAAGATTTAAGAGTTGCCATAGTTGCCGGTTGTTGAGCAACATTTGGTGCTACAGTGACAGAACTAATAGATACTCTGTTGATAGGCTCGATAATATTCTCCGACAAACTATGGTGTGAGGGGAGAGCACTCACAGAGAGACTTTGAACCAAGCGACGATTCTGTAGTTCTGGGTTATAATGTGTTATAGATGAAACACTTCCACTGCCACCTTCTCTCACTGTTAGCACACGTTTCGGGGACAACATGCCTGCTATATAGGGCATCTGTATCTGTGATGTTTTAGATGATGGAGTCTGTATCTCTATACCTGAATCATCACATTTTTTCGAGTCTTGTTTAACCATCTGCACTGCAGACATTTTCTGGAGGAAATGCTCACTCACGTGACTTGGAGAATGAAATAACGGAATAGAACTAGAATTTGACGGAAATCTTGGCGTAATTGGAGAGACATGTTCTGAAGATGAACTTCCTGACTTGGATGCACAGGAACTCCAACTACGTGTTGGAGAAGTAATAAAAGCTTGTGTCTGAGGATGCGGAGAAATTGGAGTAAAAGAGGCAGAATTCCGGGACCCATGACCACTGGTTGGGGACTGTACACTTAACTGTGGAGATAAAGGATTCTGAGAAGGCGTCGGTGAAAACGCTGGTGTAGTGGAACGAGAATTACCCAGAGACACCAACATATTAGCTGCTTCAGTTTCATCAAACCTATTATGGACATGTCCATGTTCCGGATCATACTCGCCTTCTCCGCGACCATCACTCCAGTCTATCTGTCCTTCCTTCAATTCACCTGTCCGACACCCAGGAAACGGAGGAGCGTTCCTCATATTTTTCTGTCCTTTCATTGAGAGATGACGTGAACAGAAGCCACGTCTTTGTGATTCCTTTGTGCATCCTTCCTTAGAGCACAATCGCCTCCATTGTTTTCCGTTGAATTTCTTGCGAATTCCATTTGGTGTAGAAACAACATCCCCTTTTTTATATTTTGTTGTCAGCGGTGATCTTGGTGTGCTAGATCGGCTACCGCTCTCACATGACTGAGCGCTGCGACTCCTAGCGGAATCACGTTTCTTCGGAGGCTGATTTTTGCGATCTCCTTGAGACCTTGACCCAGATCCAGGTGTTGCACTTCCAGATCTAGGGGTACTTAATCCTGATGAATCGAAGCAGAATTCTTCGCTCTGAATATCATCATCAGAAGAATCACCACGTTCATTGCTAGTACTCTGTGGAAGAGACGGTGACCGTATGAGGCGATTCAAGGGGGGACTTATTTCCAATGATGCAGGGATATGTTGGTGATGAGGCTGCTGTGTGTGCTGATGTATGTGTAACTGGAAGGGAGAAGGTACCATAGCAGGAGGTGGGGGCGTTTCCTGCTCTGGGATTCCCTCCTCGAACTCTTCATGCCATGGAGGGTGTAAAAGTCTTAGAACTGCACGCGACACCCATTCATATTTTTCTTCTGCCAGACCGTGAATCCTTACACGGTAACTAATTGGTTGAGATTTCTTGTCCACTACCTGTCCTTCATAATAATAATTCACTTCAGGATTAATGCGTACACAAACACGAGCCCCAACAGCCACCATGACGGCCATTGGACTGTGATCACTAATAATGTCGTGGTTGTTTTTCTGTTCGAGTACATCATTAAAGTAAACCATATTTTTGTCACTGTCAAACAAAATTCCAATATGGCGGTTATGTTTCACATCACGAATCTCCCCTGGTTGGTACAGACCATCCCGACGGGCAAGCACACGCTGATTAATCCAGTTAATCAAGTCAATCATTGGTCGCTTTGCTGGTGGACCAAGGGGAGATGATTCACTCTCAAATTCGTTCCCTTTACGTTTTTTCGGAGGAATAGCTCTGGATCTTTTTTCCTCTTCTGTTGGTGTGCATACTAACAAAGGTCGCTCTGTCATCAACCTGTCAGTCTGAAAGCGCTCCGCGGAAGATCGCTCCATGACCTGTTCACTAATAGGCGCACTGTGTTCAGACGGTTGCTGGAATGCAGGGCTCTCCCGGAGATGAGGAGGTGGTAATTGTACTGAAGAAACAGGGGGTGGTAACTGCATGGATGTTACTGGAGGATGAAGCTGTGCAGATGATCCAGGGGGAGGCAACTGCGTAGAGGTCACAGGAGGATGCAGCTGTGTAGAAGTTGCAGGGTGGAATTGTGTGACAGTTATAGGGGGAGGTAACTGTGTGGAAATTCCAGGAGGGGGAAACTGTGTAGATGTGATAGGGGGAGACAACTGCGTAGTTGTAACAGGTGGAGATGACCGTGTAGAAGTTGCAGGGGGAGGCAACTGTTGTGTGGTGGAGGATGTTGCCACGACATTGTCCTTTACTTCTAATGGAGGAGTCTGATCTTTCTCTGTAGAACTCTTTCTGTTTCTGCCATTACGCCCTAGAATAAGAAATATTTTGTTTGATATTTTTCAAAATTAAACACACGCAAAAACATTTCTGATATCTTGTAATGTTTCCCCTTACTTCTAAAACCAAAACAAGATGTGTTTATGAAACACTATTCACCCAAATTCTAAATTGTGACATTAAAACTGTACTGTGTAAGGCATGTATACCAAGATATTGTTAAATAAAACTGCAGAGATAATGAATTGAAACTGCGAATTATTGGAAATTTTCTGAGTTTAAGGAGCGTTACTCTGTGTAAAGTTGTAGCCTACTTCTTACATGGCAATAGTTAAGGCCGATGTTTAAATTTTTCAAATGTAAGTCAAAGGTCACAGTCAAATACACATTGTCAAAAATTTTGGTACCACCAGAAAGGTGACAAGGAAGTCCAATAAGAAAACCATACAACAGATATACAAACAGAGAGACAATTTGCTCCAGATCTTTTGATTTGGGGACATAGTAAATAACTTTTTTCACCAAGATGAAAACCTCGCTATCATTTGACGATACTCACCACGACTGGTAGTATTGGATTTTTTCCCATCTTGGCCATTTTTGTTTCCTGATTTCTTGGTCCCCGTACTGACAGATGTGTCCGAGTCTCCTGTAGAATCTTCCTTTACGTCAGACACCTCGGGAGGAGTGTCTTCTGTCGAAGCTGCTGCTCTACGCTTGGACTTACTTCCTGATAAGATAATACACGATATTTATAGTACTTTACTTTGTAGGTTTTTTTCCAGGTGAGTTATCACCACATATCTCTGGTTTCAGTTTTGACGCAAAATGAGAAGCATGAGAATGTGAAATCAATGTCATACAATCAGAGGACCTAATTATCAATTAAAGATCATGAACTCACGCAGCAAATTGCCCATGTCAAAATGTAACTATTTATCATACTTTCCAGGTTATAAACTGGTTATATGTAAGCCGCAGAGCCAATTTTTTGCCTCTTTTTTCTATTTGATCAACATATTAGCCCCATCAGAATATAAGCTGCACCCTTTATTATGATGTGGTAACCGTAATTTTGATCAGATTTTGTTGATATAATTTATCAAGATCATCAGTGAATCATTTAATATAAGTATGTAAGTGAATTATACACAGGTATTCCTCTATATTCTTGATGCATTTCAAAACAGAGCAATTATTGAACTTGTTTGGCTTTGGAACCTTCAAAGATTGTCTACGCACAGAAATCGTGCCCAATATACTGTTTGGTTTACTAAACAATTTCTCCGTCAGTGTCTGTATGCTTAAATATTAGTGAAGGTCCTTATATGCTGAAAAAATTCATATAGTCCCATATTATTTCTTGTAAGTTACACAAAGCCATTTTTATAGTAAACATGCATGGCTGCTGTTCTAGAGTTTGACCCAATCACCTATCGATCCTAGGATGCAACAGGCTATTGTAAACTTCTGCTATGGCTTACGAACAACCACAAAAGTTCAGAAGATTCATATTAAAAGGTATGATTAATTAAATCCACGAAAATGTTTTTTTTTCAATCTTAAAATCATCTTGTATACAGATGCAAAGTTCTAGATGATCTATTTCAGTCACAAGCACGTGATGGACAGGTACATGTAGAAAACATGTATATTTTCCAGGTTATAAACTGACCAGTATGTAAGCCACAGAGCCAATTTTTGCCTCTTTTTTCCAGTTGATCCACATATTAGCCGCATCAGAATATAAGCTGCACCCTTTATTATGAGGTGGTAACCGGTATTTTGACCAGACTTCGTTTTGTACATGTGTAATGGTATCCTCGGTTTAAATCACTATTTTTTTATTCTTTCTGGAAGCGTGACATGTTACAGCAACTAATGCAAGGTCATGCAGGTTAATAGTGCATGTGATAAGCCTCAACAAAAAGGCTGTTTCAAAATATGCAACGGTCCAAAACCGATGTCCAGACAATATAATTTTTTTTCATTCCATTGGTTTTTTTTGTCCAAATATTAGCCGCACCAGTACATAAGCTACATGCCTAACTGTCAAGGTCTTATAATCCGCAAAGCACAGAATTCAAAACTCACCGGTGCCCCTGTTTGATGCCGGCGGGGGAGAGTTGTTTGACCGACCACGTTTCCATCGTGTTTCACCTCTTCTACTACTCATGGTTGAAAGGTTACCATCTGAAAAAACAAACACAAAAATCTGACAGGTTGTTTCTGCAGGGATGGAGACAGGAGATAGCAAATTCTAAGAAAACAAATTTCATCACGAAAAAAAATTAAAACTCGAGGAATTCAAAATTATCCTGTGAAATGTTAAAGAATCATCTCCTTCATGATGTACTGATATTGAACAGAAATTGATCAGTTAAGCCATCCCGCATGATCATTTATCAGTCAATCCAATTTGAAAAGATCATTTTAATCTCTCCCAAAATGAAAATGTCCTTGTTATATTTCTGAACAGCCATCTAGAGAAAACAAGAGACCATGCGGAGCTGTATATGGATATTCAATAGAAATTTCATCTTAAAAAAATCATTGTAATAATAAGTTCTCATGTTTCAAAGACCAGAGAGTATTGTAGCACAATTGGTTTTTTCCAAACACTTCATTGACCAAGACAATTGTTTCTTTCTTTTTGTTAAACATTTTATTGACCAAGACAATTGTGTTTTTACTTTCATGTCCAGCAGAGAAACATAGTAACATTGTGGGTATACATATATTAACTACTTTTAGGTCTCAACCTGAATAATGAAATATCACAAACATTGTGTAGTCCAAGAAAAATATTTGTCTCTCAGCAATTTACTCATGTTTGTCAGAAAAATTCAATAAGTAAGGACAGTGACAGAAATCTGTAGTCTATCATTGTTTAGAAATATCACTATGATAATTTCTTTGATACAGCACTTAATATACCTGTCATTGGCATAACCTGATTTTTCTATATTTTATTTTATTTTTTTTTGTAGGTGAGTTAGACTTGCTGAATTTTCAGGTTTACAAATGACTGATTTTATCATAAAATACGAACAATATTGATTTAATTCTCAGTGTGAGGCATCAGCTGGACTCTCGTAACAAATGTTTGTACTAAAAAATATTGAAAATCATTTATTTTATTGTATTTTATATATTTGTTGATTTACAGGCAAATACTTTCCTGGTGACACAGTAACAACATAAATGCTATTCTGAACATCAAATACTTCTGGGGAATTGAACAAAGCCTGTATATATGTTTATAGTTGTCCGAAGGCAGTGACTATCAAGGGATTTTATTTTACTTACAGATACAATGTACATTCAGTGATCAATCAACGTTTTATTTTCATAAGTCCTTTTCAATTTTATTGCTCAAAATAACAGGCCTCACAATGCAAAATTTAAGCTGTTCCAGAAATTCTACGAGTCCCATAAAAAAAAGTACACAACTCGGAACTCGCACCGCTGTACATTGGAGTCCTTTGCACTGACCTCTGACCTCATTGGTGTAAACGTTACATAAAGTATTACTGTGGCTGATCAGCTTCATGAGTGGAATCATATTTTGTTATTTTTACCGACATCAATCTTTATCATCAAAATTAATTGTTGGAGATAATAGGTATAATATATACATACACTACACTTTAAGTTGTTTACACACCTTTTTTGATACTGAGTTGACCACTCTAAACCAATCTGCCTAAACTTTGATCTGTATACTTCAATAAATAAAGGAATGTTTACAGATCAATTTCATGTTGGACGAACACGGACGTTTGTCGTCAAGACGACGCCCAGAAACAGGAAGCATCATAATGCCATCAATCTGTAGCCAACTATTTCAGACCAGCTTTAAATTTCATGAACGTAATTCTGTTCCAATTTGCATCCACAAATACTGACTTCAAATAATCGTAGGAGCACAAACCAGGAGAGACAGCTATCCTTTATATTAAATATGTCTACATCTTAATGACCATCTTCAACAAGATGAAGTAATTTATATGAAGTACAGAATATATATATAGGAAAATTATTATATAGGATAGGATAGAGAAGGAAAGAAGTGGGAGTTAATAGTATATATTTACGATTTTCATTAATAGCTGTTTTGAAACAAGTAATTGTTTAAGTATTACAAAGATACATAGTTAAACAAATTGTTGCTACGTCTGTTAAACTGTAACAGTCATTGAACAGGTAACAATCCTGTACACCGATAACGGTTTGATTGATTGTACGGGAGCAACGTAAGACCTAAGTTTAGAAATATGCATGCATTCGACAGCCAACAAATTTGCATATTACTGGACGTCTCCATCACGAAACGACACATGCATGTTCAACTCGCTGACATCATACATACTCATTTTCACCACAATGAAATTATTTCAGCCTAATTCGATTCATTTGGTTATCTAACTTTGATAGCTTCTTTTAACAAAAAAGAATAAGTTTCCTTCTACAAAATTATACTTAAAATACAATATTGATGCTAAAATGTCACACAACGTAGCTCATGACCCAAAATTCGACCGCATTCTTTAGCGTTCACGCCAGCAAGACAAATTTTTTACCCAGCAGGTTTGGCCCCCAATTTTCCAGCTCATATGGCGAGAAAATCGATCATCACCTCATCTATTTGAACCTAAAGATATTCTAGTTTGTAAAAACATTTAAAATATGTCAAAATCATCTGCATAACCTACCAGCTTGCTAAATATTTCCCTGTTCATTCATCGACATTTCGAGGAATGGCGGCGATTTCCAGGCCATGTAGTATGTGATACCGTACCCCGTAGTAAACACAGTGTAGACTGCATTCCCTAGTATACGCTCAACCCAGCTGATCCAGGTCCGGGGCCTGCACGACAGTTTTACGACGAATGTCGACAGCCCCGGTACTCATGCAAAATATACAGCTGTTTGGCCATTTGGGGTCTTAAGAGAACATATTGTTTCATCGTTATACAATACTTCAGTATTTTCAATGTATATTGTAGCTAACCTTACCTTATTTTCTTACTACAAACACCGCAAAAGGTATTTCGCCAATCGTTCAGCTTTTCTATGCTTGCATCTAAAAAAGGTGAATGAGCATATGGCCTCTGCTAATCTAGACGTTCATTGGTGAATGCAAAGTCATGTGACTGGAGAGTCGAGCGTGATCCCATCTGATTGGCTCTTGCAGATGAATTATGAAATAAAATTATATTTTTGTCACACAACCGTACTGAAGTGACAAATTCTCCCCACCACATTTTCTCCATTGTACACGACCAGGAATCAAAGTGTTTTACGTTTATCAATGCAACAAAACAAATAAAAAGTCAGAGTCACATCCAACAACATGGGAAATAAATTGCAATCTCCTGTTTGCAGAAATTCAGCTTTATTTCATGTGAGGCTACGATCCATTTACACGGAATAAGCCACCACCCATATCACGTCATTTTGGACTATCCACCAATCAAATCAAAGGAAAATGTGCCATCTTCCCGTCAAAGTCCGATCGGAGATCTCTGTTTTGCAGTTACTATATAAACAAGCGTATACATAATTGGGGCCGTAACTTGGATGACGGGAGCTCCATTGTGTATCAAATTGATGCGCAAGAGATGTTCGTCTATTTCCGATAGACCTCGGACATATCCGCGAGTATCTTGCCTAAGTTTCTAAATATAACGATATATCTACAAAAATACTGCTTATGCAAGAACAACAGATTTTCGACTGTTTGATTCATGAAAATTAGTGAAATATGTACAACCGATATCGTGTGCTGTATTGTTCTACTCACTGGCGTTGCAGAGGAATATTAATGATTTGGCTACAAAAGTATATGCAAATTTATTTTCAATTACCACATATAATTTTAGGGAACATCAGGTTATTGATGAAATGTTATTAAAATTCTTACGAGCAGAAGTTTGAAAGTCTAGGGCAATATCAACATAGTGTTACATGATATTCAGGACAAAATAATATTTTCATCGTGTATAAACGCTCTTTCGAAATGAAATCTGTTAACACCAGGGAAGGAATATTTTATTTGCACATTCGTGTCGTCAATACAATGACAGGTCTACTTAATGACGTCATAATTAGATAAACTTAGTGTAGCTCGAGTTTTGGCAGACTACCAGGGAACACGGATGTCTCATGATATTACAATATTGAAGAGACGAGGTATATATTTCGGGATCATGATTAAATCTTTATCTTTCGTCCAATTACCAATACGTGTTTTTTGCATAAATCAATTAATAGTACAGTAAGTGTATTGTCAAATTCTTCCACGCTCTGTGCCCCTTTATCAAGACAAATATTACATTAATTACATCACGTACATATATATACACACACATACATTCATACATGCATACATACATAGAAAAACAAAGTTATGAACTAAATTCCGGTAGTACAAATTAAGGTGTTAGCTCAGTGATCTCCTCGGCCTATAGAAGGGACAGAAAACAATATTAAGTTATGAAAGATGGTGATTAAAACGTCAAAAATGTTTTATAGAAATCTCCGTACGTTCTGCACGGCAGCTAGAGAGCTTGGAGAAAGTAATCAGTGTCATACTCCGAGGTGCTTAGATAAAGACATATTAAATCCATGATCTATCTAGCAAGAATATTTTGCATCTTTCAAATCCACGAGGAAATGTTCATATCTTAAGTTTTTCTTTTCACATATCCTCAGTGCACGTGCATTGTCATGTGCGTAGTAGAAAAGTTATGTACTGTTAAATCGCTCAGAACTCTTTATCTTTAAAAAAACATGATGAAAATGAGTACACTATCATACGTTCGTTTAACATTATATCCTAACAGCATACAACATCCTGGAACGAACTTTGGCCCGACAGCAGATCTCGTAGATTTGTTTAAAGCTCAATTATTTTACAATGATCGGGCCAAACTATATTTTTGCATACTCAGCAACAAGCAATTCTAGTAAGCATATACTTGAAATGTTATACTATTAAAAATTGATAATTATATCGCTGATATGTGTCTAAAATAAATGTTATTATTAAAATGGAAATGCATTTGTATGTATGTACAGTGTACCTGATGTGTAGCGAACTAGTGGCAATGGTACTGAGAAAGCAACGAGTTACAAAGAGGAAGTAAACAAAGCACAGGAAGTAATGGACATTGACAAGTAGAGACAGTGTATCTCAACATACAACTGATGATGATGATGATGATGATGATGATGATGATGATGATGATTGAGCGATTGAGTGAGCCTATAAGTGAATCCATATAATGTACTGGTATATTTTGACATGTGTGGTTTGAAAAATAAAAAAAGAATAAAAAAATAAAACATACAACTACGTGAAACACACATACGGACTTCCCCCTCCGACCCCCCCCCCCCACTCCGACCTCTCCCCCCTCCGACCCCCCCCCCACTCCGACCTCTCCCCCCTCTCCGACTCCCCCCCCCCTCCGACCCCCCCAACTCCGACCTCTCCCACCCCCGACCTCTCTCCCACCCTTTCCGACCTCCCTCCCCTCTCTCTCTTTAAATTTGTTTATAATTATGTTGTTGTTATCACACTGCTTCCTTGTAAATAAAATGTTTGTGTATCAGTATGTTTAGAAAGGGCTTTATATAAGTTATATAAGGTGTAAAACTTGTGTCCAATCCTATTGATACTTATGTGCAATAAAATATGTTTCAATACAAAAAAAACGAAGAGTTTTCACATTATTGTTTGGAAACAGTTTAGTTCTGACTAAAGATGGTCGGCGGTAAAAGTATGGTTTGATTTATAATACTCTTAATTCAGAATATGTGAGACATAATACATGTACATGTAAAACGACTTTCACCTTCGACTTCATATCTGTCACGATCACAGCTTAAAAACCTTTTTGTTATATTTTCAAAGTTAGTGACTTCTTGGTGCAGGACTATGTACAAAACAGTCTACTGTTTTCTTTTTATGATATAGACTTCAAAGCCATTCTATATAAATTCTGTTTCAGTTTGCCCTACAATTTGGCTTTTAGTTTGTATTCAAGCGATAGCCAATATTTAACAAAAGAAATCTGATGTTATATGTGATAAGAAAAAAAGCGAAGTTCAAAATAAATTATAGACTTATTAATCATATTTTCTTCCGACCTACAAGTCGTACAATGGATGCAATTAATGTATTGCAGCCTAATGCGTTCGTATGTAGATTTAATAACAGCTCATAGTTAATACTGGAATATATAGCTTCTTTTAAATGGGGTTAAAAAAAGCACAAGACATGAAAACGCGTTTACAATAAATTAAATTTTGATAGAGCACTGCAATGCAAAGTTGGCCTCAACGCAAAACGTTCCTAGTTAAAAGGACTTCACTGCAAATCGGTCCTAGTTAAAAGGGCTTCACAATAAAACTGTCCTAGTTAAAAGGGCTTCACAGCAAAACGGTCCTAGTCAGTAAAAGGGCTTCACTGCAAAACGGTCCTAGTTAAAAGGGCTTCACTGCAGTGGCCTTAATTAAAACGACGTCACTGTAAAAACAGCTGTAGTTAAAACCACCTCACTGCAACAACGGTCGTAAATAATAGTATATTTTTTTCATAAAAGCAAAAATCTTGTGCAAGATTCGGCTTCTTTCCGATCCACGCGCATGCAAGTATTTGGTGTAAAAAAAGTAAAACAAAAACTCAGGTAATATGGATTATAGAGTTATTATACTGAATTGTTAAAACTGGTGACAGCAGAGACGTATATACGTCTCTGGTGACAGCGATAAAAAAAAGTTTTGGAATGGAGACCCAGCTGACCAGCGAAATCCATTCCTTTCTCTCGGAGTATCTTTTACGTTATCGTCCTATCCGAACGGTTCCGCTATGCAAAGGTCATGACCTCAATCACTACAGCAACAAACCACGCTTCGTCACATGATATCCGGAATACTGTGCTGTAATCTCGCGTGTTTACTGTTTACTGTCAGTCAGTCACAATATTTATAATCTTGTGAGATAACTGGACACCTTTTGCTCAATCTACGATGTCGATGGAACCAGAACCTCCATTTCGTGCGATGGTCAGAGCGAGTGGGCTGGGAGAGGTGTGGACGCACACTCATGATATTGAAAAGTTTGACCAGTTTGGTTGGCGGTGTACGAATAAGGAGAATTCATTTGCAAACGACACATTGGTAGGAAATTGGAACGAGCAAAGATTCGACATAGAAAAAATCAAAGAGGCAAAACCTCTTCCATCGCAGGTAATTTACAGAGCTAGATATCTTTTTCGCAAATCCATTTCGGTAACTGATTGAAGTCATTTGTTCATGAAATCAACATGGAACTATGATTAGTAAAAAAAAGAGCTTCCATTCTCTCTTACTTAGTCGATTCTGAATGTAGGCCTTAATTAGACCTCTATACTCAGATCCAAATTTTGTCTTGTCAAAATATTCATGTAGTCACTCCTATTTGATGTTCGGTTGTCTGTCCACTACCCTGAACATTCTGTCTCTGATTCCCAGAACTTGTCCAATCGATTTTCAAATGTATTTAGGGTTGGCGATCTGAATACTTTTTCTGGCAATGAATTCCAGTTATTCACCACTCTCTGAGTAAATGAATATTTTCTGATGTCCAGTCTACATCTTGATTTCTCCAGTGAGATTGAGTTCCCTCGAGTAAGTTTTTTCTGGTTCACTCTTAATGAGTTTTTTGCTGCATTCTTGTCATAAAGTCCACTCAGTATTTTGTACACTTCAACCATGTCTCCTCTATCCCTTCAATTTTTCAGTGATGGCAATCTAAATATCTCATTCCATCCTCATAAACCATATTTAGTAGAAGCTAGCTTTATCGCCCTTCTCTGGACACTCTCCAGTAACTTAATGTCCTGTATTTGATAAGAATTCCAGATGCTAGCCCCATGTGCATCAATGCCTTGTACAATAAACAGAACAATCTTTTATCAAGATAGGCATATGTTCTTCTTACAATTCCTAGAACTCTGCCTTGTTCACTGCTGATTGAATGTGTTGTTTAAAACTCAAATATTTGTCAACAATTATGCCCAAAATCCTTCTCTTCACTATCTTCACTTAACTGAACTGTGCACCTTGTATCTCCTGTGTCCTTGTAAAGATGTAGACTATCTTTGTCATCCACTGTTTCCACTTGAATTAGAACATGGAACTCACAGACTAATGACTAGCTGTCTTATGCTCAACCAATCAGGCTAAAGAGAAGATTTCTGTAGCGGTTTAGTAAAGCCAGTGTTTACCAGCGTTATATACTTCCCCTCCAGGAAAGAACATGCCCATGAGTTGCCACTTCATGGAAGCCTTGTAACATAACAGATATTACAGAAGTCATTATCTTATTCTCATGCTTCCATTGAATTGGAATTTGTGATCCATGGCTTAATGATAATATCCTCATTTATTACATATTTAGACAAAGTCTAAATTACAATATGGCCATATTTAGACAAAGTCTAAATTACAATATGGCCATATTTAGACAGTCTAAATTACAACATGGCCATATTTAGACAAAGTCTAAATTACAATATGGCCATATTTAGACAGTCTAAATTACAATATGGCCATATTTAGACAAAGTCTAAATTACAATATGGCCATATTTAGACAAAGTCTAAATTACAATATGGCCATATTTAGACAGTCTAAATTACAACATGGCCATATTTAGACAAAGTCGAAATTACAACATGGCCATATTACGACAAAGTCTAAATTACAATATGGCCATATTTAGACAAAGTCTAAATTACAATATGGCCATATTACGACAAAGTCTAAATTACAATATGGCCATATTTAGACAGTCTAAATTACAACATGGCCATATTTAGACAAAGTCGAAATTACAATATGGCCATATTTAGACAAAGTCGAAATTACAATATGGCCATATTACGACAAAGTCGAAATTACAATATGGCCATATTTAGACAAAGTCGAAATTACAACATGGCCATATTTAGACAAAGTCTAAATTACAACATGGCCATATTTAGACAAAGTCTAAATTACAATATGGCCATATTTAGACAAAGTCGAAATTACAATATGGCCATATTTAGACAGTCTAAATTACAACATGGCCTTGCATCAATATGTATATACAGATATCACAGAGACTTAAACATTAGTGATGCATTAAAGACATCTAAAGATAAAACCATTCTATAGGATAACTGCACAGACAAAACATACATCAAAACAAACATGAAATCATATCACACTCCAAATCATTGTCAAGCTATTGTTTCTAGGAAAAAATCCTGTCAATACTTTTTTTAAAAATGTAACAAAACTAAAATTGTTTCTAATATCTTTATTCATTCCATACAATAAAACAGATCATGTCACAAATGAACATTTGAAATAATTAGTTCTAGATGTGAGAATTAAAAACATTATGACTAGTCTAATGCTTAACAGGTTGAGCTAAATAGAAAATTCTCTCTAGTCCAGCTGTAACTAGTATTGACCAGAATGTTACATTCTCTCTAGTCCAGCTGTAACTAGTATTGACCAGAATGTTACATTCTCTCTAGTCTGACTGTAACTAGTATTAACCAGAATGTTACATTCTCTCTAGTCCAGCTGTAACTAGTATTAGCCAGAATGTTACATTCTCTCTAGTCCAGCTGTAGCTGGTATTGACCAGAATGTTATATTCTCTCTAGTCCAGCTGTAACTAGTATTGACCAGAATGTTACATTCTCTCTAGTCCAGCTGTAGCTGGTATTGACCAGAATGTTACATTCTCTCTAGTCCAGCTGTACCTAGTATTGACCAGAATGTTACATTCTCTCTAGTCCAGCTGTAACTAGTATTGACCAGAATGTTACATTCTCTCTAGTCTGACTGTAACTAGTATTAACCAAAATGTTACATTCTCTCTAGTCCAGCTGTAACTAGTATTAACCTGAGTGTTACATTCTCTCTAGTCCAGCTGTAGCTGGTATTGACCAGAATGTTACATTCTCTCTAGTCCAGCTGTAACTAGTATTAACCTGAGTGTAACATTCTCTCTAGTCCAGCTGTAACTAGTATTGACCAGAATGTTACATTCTCTCTAGTCTGACTGTAACTAGTATTGACCAGAATGTTACATTCTCTCTAGTCCAGCTGTAGCTGGTATTGACCAGAATGTTACATTCTCTCTAGCCCAGCTGTAACTAGTATTGACCAGAATGTTACATTCTCTCTAGTCCAGCTGTAACTAGTATTGACCAGAATGTTACATTCTCTCTAGTCCAGCTGTAACTAGTATTGACCAGAATGTTACATTCTCTCTAGTCCAGCTGTAACTAGTATTGACCAGAATGTTACATTCTCTCTAGTCCAGCTGTAACTAGTATTGACCAGAATGTTACATTCTCTCTAGCCCAGCTGTAACTAGTATTAACTATAATGTTACATTCTCTCTAGTCCAGCTGTAACTAGTATTGACCAGAATGTTACATTCTCTCTAGTCCAGCTGTAACTAGTATTGACCAGAATGTTACATTCTCTCTAGTCCAGCTGTAACTAGTATTGACCAGAATGTTACATTCTCTCTAGTCCAGCTGTAACTAGTATTGACCAGAATGTTACATTCTCTCTAGTCTGACTGTAATTAGTATTGACCAGAATGTTACATTCTCTCTAGTCCAGCTGTAACTAGTATTAACTATAATGTTACATTCTCTCTAGCCCAGCTGTAACTAGTATTGACCAGAATGTTACATTCTCTCTAGTCCAGCTGTAACTAGTATTAACTATAATGTTACATTCTCTCTAGCCCAGCTGTAACTAGTATTGAACAGAATGTTACATTCTCTCTAGTCTGACTGTAATTAGTATTGACCAGAATGTTACATTCTCTCTAGTCCAGCTGTAGCTGGTATTGACCAGAATGTTACATTCTCTCTAGTCCAGCTGTAACTAGTATTGACCAGAATGTTACATTCTCTCTAGTCCAGCTGTAACTAGTATTGACCAGAATGTTACATTCTCTCTAGTCCAGCTGTAACTAGTATTGACCAGAATGTTACATTCTCTCTAGTCCAGCTGTAACTAGTATTGACCAGAATGTTACATTCTCTCTAGTCCAGCTGTAACTAGTATTAACCTGAGTGTAACATTCTCTCTAGTCCAGCTGTAACTAGTATTGACCAGAATGTTACATTCTCTCTAGTCCAGCTGTAACTAGTATTGACCTGAGTGTAACATTCTCTCTAGTCCAGCTGTAACTAGTATTTGACCAGAATGTTACATTCTCTCTAGTCCAGCTGTAGCTGGTATTGACCAGAATGTTACATTCTCTCTAGTCCAGCTGTAGCTGGTATTGACCAGAATGTTACATTCTCTCTAGTCCAGCTGTAACTAGTATTGACCAGAATGTTACATTCTCTCTAGTCCAGCTGTAACTAGTATTGACCAGAATGTTACATTCTCTCTAGCCCAGCTGTAACTAGTATTGACCAGAATGTTACATTCTCTCTAGTCCAGCTGTAACTAGTATTGACCAGAATGTTACATTCTCTCTAGTCCAGCTGTAACTAGTATTAACCTGAGTGTAACATTCTCTCTAGTCCAGCTGTAACTAGTATTGACCAGAATGTTACATTCTCTCTAGTCCAGCTGTAGCTGGTATTGACCAGAATGTTACATTCTCTCTAGTCCAGCTGTAGCTAGTATTGACCAGAATGTTACATTCTCTCTAGTCCAGCTGTAGCTAGTATTGACCAGAATGTTACATTCTCTCTAGTCCAGCTGTAGCTGGTATTGACCAGAATGTTACATTCTCTCTAGTCCAGCTGTAACTAGTATTGACCAGAATGTTACATTCTCTCTAGCCCAGCTGTAACTAGTATTGACCAGAATGTTACATTCTCTCTTGTCCAGCTGTAACTAGTATTAACCTGAGTGTAACATTCTCTCTAGTCCAGCTGTAACTAGTATTGACCAGAATGTTACATTCTCTCTTGTCCAGCTGTAACTAGTATTAACCTGAGTGTAACATTCTCTCTAGTCCAGCTGTAACTAGTATTAACCTGAGTGTAACATTCTCTCTAGTCCAGCTGTATCTAGTATTGACTAGAATATTCCATTCCCTCTAACCAAGCAGGATATTGCAGATGGTACATACCCAAGTTACATATTACCTAGTAATTGTAATGATATGTAGCTAAATATCTCAGTTTTTCTTTATTTTTTTCAGTATGATCACTACTTTGAATCAACTTATGGCACGAACTACAACAGACAACCATACAAAGTACCAGAGGAACTAAAACATCTAAAAGGTAAATATTATTTCCTGAAAAAGGTTTGTAAAAGCCACACACATTAATAAATTTTAGACTTGTGCTGTAAAGTCATCAGAGGATTTCTTAAACTACTCTCCCTCAATCATCTCCAAATCCTTGTCTGGTGTATCTGTTACGGTCAGGAAGGACTGGACCATTAGACGCCTGGTCTGGCCCTCTTCATTATTGAGAAGTTAGTTAGATATATAAGAGAAGTTGTTTTAAGATGTGAACCTTTGTGATCCTTGCGGCTTTGAGTGAGTCAAGGCTATTTTGTTGAACACAAACTTGATAGCCTGAGATCATAACACCCTGGGCCTCTTTGCTTATCAAGCAGAATTTCTAGTCATCATAAGATTTTAACACATTTGACCCCTTGTGACCTTGAGGTCACTCATTTGAATAAGGTTAGTCACTTTTTATCCCCGCATGGTAAAGGTCTGATATCATGACCTTGTATCTTTTGGTTGTTGAGGAAAGTTATGCTCAGGCAAAAGATAAAATTTTAGGGACAAGGAAAAAATTAGAAACTATAGCTTACTCTCAGGACTATAGATATCACCATACAATGACTGATGGATCCTGTTCTGGAAGAATTCAATCTTATAGCAGACTTTAAAATTTTGAATAAGTAATAATATTTCCAATTTCTCATAGACAATTCTTTTGGTAAGGACACATAGGGGTCAAGGTCATATCAATCTACATCTTTGAAACATGCTGACCAAATCCTCACGACGACCAAATCCTCACGACGACCAAATCCTCACGACGGGCAAATCATCATCACGACGACCAAATCCTCACGACGACCAAATCCTCACAACGGGCAAACTTATTGGTTAATCATTTGAAATGAACTGCCTTTTTAGATTTTAGCCAAATTTATTCCTTGAACCTTACAAAATGGTCAAGGTTTGTTTGTTTGTGTTTTGTAACATCTATTTTACTAGGTGATTAAAGTTTTATTAGACATATTTATGATACCCTCCTCTACAAATAGACCCCAGGAGATATAACAACCTGTGTTTATGATATCTCCTCCCCTACAAATAGACCCCAGGAGATATAACAACCTGTGTTTATGATACCCTCCTCTACAAATAGACCCCAGGAGATATAACAACCTGTGTTTATGATACCCTCCCCTACAAATAGACCCCAGGAGATATAACAACCTGTGTTTATGATATCTCCTCCCCTACAAATAGACCCCAGGAGATATAACAACCTGTGTTTATGATACCCTCCTCCCCTACAAATAGACCCCAGGAGATATAACAACCTGTGTTTATGATACCCTCCTCCCCTACAAATAGACCCCAGGAGATATAACAACCTGTGTTTATGATATCTCCTCCCCTACAAATAGACCCCAGGAGATATAACAACCTGTGTTTATGATATCTCCTCCCCTACAAATAGACCCCAGGAGATATAACAACCTGTGTTTATGATACCCTCCCCTACAAATAGACCCCAGGAGATATAACAACCTGTGTTTATGATACCCTCCCCTACAAATAGACCCCAGGAGATATAACAACCGGAGATATAACAACCTGTGTTTATGATACCCTCCTCTACAAATAGACCCCAGGAGATATAACAACCTGTGTTTATGATATCTCCTCCCCTACAAATAGACCCCAGGAGATATAACAACCTGTGTTTATGATACCCTCCTCCCCTACAAATAGACCCCAGGAGATATAACAACCTGTGTTTATGATACCCTCCTCTACAAATAGACCCCAGGAGATATAACAACCTGTGTTTATGATATCTCCTCCCCTACAAATAGACCCCAGGAGATATAACAACCTGTGTTTATGATACCCTCCTCCCCTACAAATAGACCCCAGGAGATATAACAACCTGTGTTTATGATACCCTCCTCTCCTACAAATAGACCCCAGGAGATATAACAACCTGTGTTTATGATACCCTCCTCCCCTACAAATAGACCCCAGGAGATATAACAACCTGTGTTTATGATACCCTCCTCCCCTACAAATAGACCCCAGGAGATATAACAACCTGTGTTTATGATATCTCCTCCCCTACAAATAGACCCCAGGAGATATAACAACCTGTGTTTATGATTCCCTCCTCCCCTACAAATAGACCCCAGGAGATATAACAACCTGTGTTTATGATACCCTCCTCCCCTACAAATAGACCCCAGGAGATATAACAACCTGTGTTTATGATATCTCCTCCCCTACAAATAGACCCCAGGAGATATAACAACCTGTGTTTATGATACCCTCCTCCCCTACAAATAGACCCCAGGAGATATAACAACCTGTGTTTATGATACCCTCCTCAGGAGATATAACAACCTACAAATAGACCCCAGGAGATATAACAACCTGTGTTTATGATACCCTCCTCCCCTACAAATAGACCCCAGGAGATATAACAACCTGTGTTTATGATACCCTCCTCCCCTACAAATAGACCCCAGGAGATATAACAACCTCCCCTACAAATAGACCCCAGGAGATATAACAACCTGTGTTTATGATACCCTCCCCTACAAATAGACCAGGAGATATAACCAGGAGATATAACAACCTGTGTTTATGATACCCTCCTCCCCTACAAATAGACCCCAGGAGATATAACAACCTGTGTTTATGATACCCTCCTCCCCTACAAATAGACCCCAGGAGATATAACAACCTGTGTTTATGATACCCTCCTCCCCTACAAATAGACCCCAGGAGATGTAACAACCTGTGTTTATGATATCTCCTCCCCTACAAATAGACCCCAGGAGATATAACAACCTGTGTTTATGATACCCTCCCCTACAAATAGACCCCAGGAGATATAACAACCTGTGTTTATGATACCCTCCTCCCCTACAAATAGACCCCAGGAGATATAACAACCTGTGTTTATGATACCCTCCCCTACAAATAGACCCCAGGACACCTAGCATAAACTTGAAGACTTTCCCCCAAACATATCCCATTAAAGGGGCCAGTTAAAGTTTTTGATATGGTAGTGAATTGGGTTTTCTTTACAGTATACCCCTACAATTGGCTAAGTTACATTTTGGTGACTTGTCTTGTAAATATTGAGATGCCCTTGGATAGGTCGGCTGGTGCTTGATATTACCACGGATTCACTTTTGTTCAGTCTACAATTTAGTAGGTCAGTGAACACACAGGTTTTTACAGCTTGTCTCACTGCTGTACTTGTAGATTTATAGTCTAAATTAGGTCATCAATAGTATACATGTATATAACAATATTTAGAATGGAAGCGTTTATGTTATAGGAAGTCTTTTATTATAGAAGGATTATTTGATTCCAGCTCGTCACAGTCACGCTTTCCCAGGACATCAACCAGAAATTGACAGTAAATCTTCAAAAGCTGTCTACAACAGCTGGGAGACCACAACACGATCTTCTTTTGTTGATCCTCGTATCCGTGTTCAACCTCTCCAACCTCCAACACAGGAGAGTCCTAATGAAGGTCCTGCTCAGTAACCATAGTAACTCAATAGGAAATATTATAATTACACTGTTCATGAGAACAATTTGCTGAGAATTGAAAGAATGTAAATGCTGTGATATTTTTTGTTTTTCATTAAATGATAAAAAGTGAATTAACCTCTTCGTGAAATGTTTATATACTCAATGAGTAGTGTACAAGTTCTATGAAATGCACCCTTATTTTAACATAATATTAAAAGAAATATTCCCCGTTTGTAAAATAATTTGCTCAGCTACTGGAGAGAAAAAGCTATAGTTATACTATCCAGGTAACATAACTGTGTTAAACATTCAGGAAATTGTACCAATAAATATAAGCATCAGAATTAAGAAAACAAAACTCATTTCTATTGAAATGAAAAATAAAAGTTGAATGAGTTGAAACTTTCCTACAATCTTTTATTCTGTTTAGTCTACAAGTATAAACAGCTAATTTTTATCACATTAGAATCGTACTCCTGTTCTGTATGTTGAATGTGGTGTTTGTTGCCTTTTAATTGAATATGGTGAACTTGTAATCTTTTTTTTAGAAACATCTGTGATAATGCAGGTAGACCATGTAGTGACACTAACATGTATATCTACATTTTGTCTGCAATAGATAAAATTCAACCATAGCTTATAAACTAAAATTTGATGGTTTCCACAAGAAAATCATTGTGAAATTATTTCTTTGATCATCTGATGTTTAAAGAATGAAGGTATATCAAATATGTGTCCGGGTAAATGATTTTTGTTTTCTTTAATATTTTTTTTTCAAGTTCACAAAGCAACTTTCCTTGCATCTGATTACATTCACTTGTATAAAAAAACATTGATGTGAATATGATGTAAAAATAAAACATTGATGTGATTATGATGTAAAAATAAAACATTGATGTGAATATGACGTAAAAATAACCAAGAACAACACATTGACTTATTTTACCATGTGGTAATGTTCAAAATATGTGTTTAAATTTATTACTTTAACCTGTAATAATGTAAAAAAAATTTGATGGTTTTAAAATTTCAGTTACACCAAAAAGCTTGTAGCAAGAGAAGGAATTTTCACAGTAGTCAATAAAACCCAGTGTAACCGTGGTAAACACCTTGCTATACAATGTATTAGGATCTTCCTTATCAATTTCATGCTCAAGGTAACAATTTTTAACCCTTTTATTCTTGAAAAATAAATAGAATTAGAACCCATGATATATCAACCCTAACATCACATGGTAAGCTTAACTTATAAACATGTTTGTATGGATCCGTGTTAATAACAAGCTTGTTTGGATCTGTGTTGACAACACGTTTGTTTTGATCCATGTTATCAACTAGCTTTTATGGATCTGTGTTGACAAGCTTGTATAGATCTGTGTTGACAACACATTTGTTTTGATCCACGTTATCAACAAGCTTGTATGGATCTGTGTTGACAACACATGTGTTTTGATCCACGTTATCAACAAGCGTGTATGGATCTGTGTTGACAACACGTTTGTTTTGATCCACGTTATCAACAAGCGTGTATGGATCTGTGTTGACAACACGTTTTTTTTTATCCACGTTATCAACAAGCGTGTATGGATCTGTGTTGACAACACGTTTGTTTTGATCCACGTTATCAACAAGCGTGTATGGATCTGTGTTGACAACACGTTTTTTTTGATCCACGTTATCAACAAGCGTGTATGGATCTGTGTTGACAACACGTTTGTTTTGATCCACGTTATCAACAAGCGTGTATGGATCTGTGTTGACAACACGTTTTTTTTTATCCACGTTATCAACAAGCTTGTATGGATCTGTGTTAAGTACAAGCTTGTTTGGATCTGTGTTCTATTAGATGTTTGTATAGAGATTCCTACAGTATTACCTAAAGGTTATAGGTCACCAGTGATTCCTATAGTATTACCTAGAGGTTATAGGTCACCAGTGATTCCTACAGTATTACCTAGAGGTTATAGGTCACCGGTACTTCAGAAAAAACTCCACCATTGCTCATTTTGCTCTTCCTTCTTCAGTATTACAACGTTATGTGTATGTTTGTTTTTGTTTGTAGATTAGAATCGGAAAGTACAGTGTATCATTACCCTATTTGTTCATTAGTCACGATGAAATCTATATCAAACCTATATGTTGCTTTTTCTATGTATACATTAAATCATTTTGTTCAAAATCTATTGTTTTTTTTGTTTTTGATTTTAGTTTTTCTTTGTTTTGTTATTGATTTTCATTTTTTTCTCTCCTTTTAACAGCCAATGAAACATCATCCTTATTTGGTTCTGACAAAATTAACAAACCTATCTGTTTTCCAGACAAATGACATTTTGACTACAAACACCCGGGAATAATATACAACCAGTGGTGATAGTGGGAACAACTATTCAATAATCAAAACAATTCTGAATCCTAGTAACACCTACAGTTATCTCCCCTGAAACAGCTAAGGTTATAAAAACAACAACACTCTTTGGTTCAGTTTTTCCACATTCCCGCCAAATTTCAGCTGTCTCCAGGAAAACTAATATGTGTTTTTCAAGTTGGCGGCCATGGTGGTTAGATTTTATAACTGATATTATTTCACCAGAACCATCTATTGATCATATTAGTCGACTGAGAAAACCACAAAATAGGAACACTGTCGCCCTCCGGTCTCCACAACTAGAGATGAAGTTTCAAATGTGTTCTTCAAGATGACTGTCATGACAGCCATATATGTTGGATTTTGGACCAATAAGAACTACTAAGAACAATGGTCAGGATCACATCAGACAAATTTTAGCAACTTGTGGACATTGACAGAAAATGGCAGACGAATGATAGCTGAAAGATGGCAGCAGACAGTGGAGAGCATATGGACGATAACTGATGGACGGTAGCTGATGGACGATAGCTGATGGATAAAAGCAGATGAAACACAATGACTATAGGTCATATGACTAAAAAAACAAGAGAAAACACCATGAAGTTATTTCCACTTTAATTCCTCAGGTCTGTACACAATATATGTATGATGGAGTTGAAACATTAGTTAAACACGTAACCAAAACAGGAAAGTTTATTGGTGAGTTCCCAAACTAAAATTGATGAAATTCAACAGAACATTTTATAGGTCAAAATATAGACAGGAACATCCATCTCAAACTGAACCAAAAAAGGTGTTCTTCTACAAGGTTACATCATCAATGTGACACTGGACAAACTTGTAACCTAATCAAACACCGAAACAAATTATCTTCACAAGTTGTCATGGTGACATTGACGTATAACTAAAAGTACACATTTAAATATTTTGATGAAAACTTTTATTACATCCAGTATGTGTGGTGTGTTATGTCTGATAAAGCATACATTAAATAAGCAAGGAATATATTAGATTTACAATGAATAATAATACTTCACATATAAATATTCATCCAATATCACAAAGCTTACTGAAAATTGCATCAGTTTACCAGGTTAACATGAATTGTCAAACATCTGATAATCATATTTTTGTTCTTTTTCATTCAAAATAATACCATCTTTATAATTTTCATTTAACATACAGATACTTTAGAATGAAAATAATGCAATATTTTAAGTAAACTATGATTTAGTTTAGCAAGTTTTCAGCAGCTGGTCAGGTGATTGGCCGGTAAGACTAACAATGAACTCAAGTTTATCCAATCAAAACACATCTTAAAGCACAAAGAATATCGTAATAATTTTCTAGATTTTATATATTGCACATTTTCATGTTAAAATCAACAGATTAGCACAGAGACACCTATAAACATATCAGAAGACACCTACAAATCATATCAGAAGACACCTACAAAACAAATCAGAAGACACCTACAGAAATATCAGAAGACACATACAAATCATATCAGAAGACATCTACAGAACATATCAGAAGACACCTACAAATCATATCAGAAGACACCTACAAAACAAATCAGAAGACACCTACAGAAATATCAGAAGACACATACAAATCATATCAGAAGACATCTACAGAACATATCAGAAGACACCTACAAATCATATCAGAAGAAGACATACAAAACAATATCAGAAGACACCTACAGAAATATCAGAAGACACATACAAATCATATCAGAAGACACCTACAAAACATATCAGAAGACACCTACAAATCATATCTGAAGATACCTACAAATCATATCTGAAGACACCTTCATAACATATCAGAAGACACAAAATATATCAGAAGACACCTACAGGACATATCAGAAGACACCTACAAATCATATCAGAAGACATCTACAGAACATATCAGAAGACACCTACAAATCATATCAGAAGACACCTACAAAACATATCAGAAGACACCTACAAATCATATCTGAAGATACCTACAAATCATATCTGAAGACACCTTCATAACATATCAGAAGACACAAAATATATCAGAAGACACCTACAGGACATAGGAGATTTATAACACATTGAAAGACATGGAATTTCTAGAAATACATATTTTGTGTTGCTCTGTGATAAATCAATTAACTGTAAATTACTTAACAACCAATCATTATGAATTTCTTATACAAATTATTCACTTTAGAAATAATAGGTGTTATAAAAAATCAAAATAACTATATACAGAAAATATTGTGTGTTTATTTCATTAGAATAATTGACAAAAGTAATATGATGTAATAATTTTGTCATTTTTCTCCCAACACAATTAATTATTATTATTTAAATATAGAAAGGATGGAATGTTGAAAATTTCAGTATATTTACTATACATTGTACTGGTATTATAAGTGAAATAACTGAGTATTATATAAGCTTTAGAACATTGAATAAAATAAACATGTTTTACGGCATCCAGTGAAGACATACATGTAATACTGGTACAACATCAGTGACCACCCTTGGACACCTACAGTTATCTCCCCTATAAAACGATCACCTACAGTTATCTCCCCAGTAAAACAGACACCTACAGTTATTTCCCCTGTGAAATGGACACCTACAGTTATCTCCCCTGTAAA